AAAACTCTCTGTAAATATATATGTGCATTTATTGATCTTTGCCGAGCAAGAGTCCCGAGGGCAGAATTTTATAATTAAAACGGAGAGAAGATCCAGTTTTGAAAGTGTATAAAAGAACTCGCTCATCTGCTTGGCAGGAGAAAAATGGACACTGTTGCAAAGTGGAAGATAACTGGAGCTGGCGACTGGTCAACTCGTGCCGTTGGATAACAGGAGTTTGTTATCCGCGGCGTTTTAAAAAATAAATGCAGAAAAGTGGAAAATTATGCGGAGTAATGATATATTTTTTTTAAACTGGTTTCAATGCATTAAAATTATAGCTCAACTTTATCTTCTGCACGAAAACCTATAATTCAAACAAAAATAGAATTTTGATTTTTCTTTTAACACTATTTACAGGTTTTTAGCAATTTTAAGTTTCACATTCACAACTGTTCTAATTAAAGCAACTGCATCAGATTTTCTCCACAAAATGTTTTGTTTTTAAAAAGATTGACAAAATATAAAATTAAATTGACTAAATATATTTATATTTTTGATTATAATATTATTGTTCGATTTTTATTCAATTCACAAAGGTATTATGATCATTTAATTAATTCTCCTTTTGATCATCGGATGAAAATGCTAATAAAAAATCTAGATGGTTCTACGCGTTTGCTTTGAAAACGTGCCATTTATTCGGCGAAAGTTACGACGAAGGAAAAACAATGTTAGTTCAAAGACCACGAAAACAGCTCTTTTTGCGTGCGCTATTATTCGCCTCTCATTCAAATTACACACCGAGCAGGTGAGCCTTTAGTGCAAAAAGCCATAAAATTTCACTATCGGCAGCATAAATAATTTCCTTCTTTTTTTTATAACGAATTTCCCTTCTGCGGCGTGTGAGAGAATTCGGCTTTCAAAGTTCAAGTGCATTCATTTGCGCTGTACACAGCGGTCGTTAAAATTTCTCTTGCTTTGTGTCGCGCCAATTATACAGCCGGTGAAGCAGAAAATTTCCTTCCGTCCGCCTGCACTTTTCTCTATTTGCAACTTTTTTTTTAGCTTGAATTTTCCTAATAAAACGCACAACTCGGCGCGGCGAGAGAGTGTCTCTTTCTTTTGCCATAAAGCAAGTCACTCGCCCGCTGTAAATAAACGGGACAAGGACGCCCAAGTCGAGAGTCTCAAACTAAATCTGCCGTGTAATTGCACGGTGCCTGATTTCTTTAGTCTTTGCGTCGGTTTCCCTGTGTGCAGAGCGACTGCTTTTCCTCGGGTCGTCGTCGTCGGTGTTGAAATAAACACCAGCGCGAACTAATAAGAAAGTAGCGGCCGGCGAATTAGGCAAAGCGGAGAGAGAGAGACTAGCACGAAAACGCGCGCGTGAGCCACATATTGATGTATAATTGTTGCGTCGGCCAATTACTTGAAATTAGAGTTAGAAGCTCAAATGATTGACAGCAAAAAGTTTCCTTGCAATCTGAAATTATATAAATTAGAAGTTTCTCTGGTTTTTCCTCTTAAAATAATTTAAATACCCTCAAGAAACAAAATTTGAATTTTTCTTTCCAATATATTATTCTCAAAAGTGCTTCAATGTAAATTTTGGAAGTAAAACTTTCTATTGGTTATTTTAAAAATAAATAAAAAATTTAATTATCTTCAAATTGCGTTCTAACGACATATATTATGTGGTGATGTTTTTAATTTTTTTTTACAAAAATGTTTTATTTTCATATTTTTGAACTACTTTGAAACCTTATTTTAAGTTTCTGAACAAGACTTTTTTTGTGGAATTTCAATTTGTTCCGCAAATTTTACGTCTGTTGAAAAGAATTTAATTTAAATTCTGCAAAAAGAAAAAAAAATCAATTGTCTTTTGCTGGAAACTTGAAAATTATCATAAATATGAGAGCAAAAATACAAATTATATAACATTATTGGGAGTTTAACTTCAAGAGACTGATTTTTTGGTTTAAATGATATTTTCAAAATAAAATTTATAAATCAACATCAAATGAAATAAAATATTTTAAATAATTTTATTAATTTATTTCTTAATTGAGCAACTGCGAGCAACTCTATATTTATTTTCGTCGATCGTTGCTCAGGCTCTTGTTTTGCAGTGGGTCTTTGTAAAACAATTGAAGCGCCCACGGTCGATTGCCATTTCGGTGTCGGATCGACTATTGCGGGTGCACCATGGCTTGTGTGTCAGCGCCCATTCCTGCGAATGCCGACCGCAGCCATGCGCTATGCATGCAAATCAATGTGCACATACCTGTCGAGAGCCTTTGGGCGATTTCACATTGCCTATTTCGTCACCGTACGAACGCGACGGCGAATCTCGCGGCGTATGGTATGCGCGTTGCTTATTCACGTAGCGGTTTCCAAGAAGATTCTCGACTGAATTAAAATTAAATTATACTAAATTTTTCTTCAGTAGCTTTGACAACGCTGGCCCCAATTTGAAATTAACTGTTGATTACACAAACTAGAATTCAGCAACTAATTCATGGAAAATTGGAATTGTGACTAGAAAAATATTAAATTTTAATTAATTTTTTTGTTTGTGTTTAATTTTCTTAATTAATGTTGAAATCAAACTCAACAAGTTTCTAAAAACCAGGAATATTTTGAAAAATAAATTTTAATTAGTAATTTTTAAATTTTAGCCTCTTTTCTAATTATGACTGTCTGGAATGGCGCATATAATTAGAATGAACTCATCTTCGACTCCGTTGGCACCGAGTCAGAAAAAACAATGGACACTTAAATTGCTTATACAAAGTCATATAATAGTAAAACACACGCACGCATTTGAGCTTTCATAATTCTGTGTCGCATGCAACCTTTGACTCGGTTCGTTTTGCGTGTAATTTACGGTTCGTGCATGTCTTGCCATTTTAATGCATTGCTGCACTTTTTGCGCAAATATTTCGACTTTGAAATTAGCAAAAAAAATCAGCTGCAGAGATTGATTTCAAATCATTGCGGTTTGTCTCAACCTTGAGGAGAGTTTTTTCTAGCCATGCATAGTAGGCCAAATTAAAAAATAATAATATGTGGAAACCAGTAGAGATTTTGAGCTTGAACAAAAAACAAGTTTGTGAGCAAATATGCACAGAAGGATGAACAGTTATTCAGTACATATAAGGATTTAATTTGTTTTTGGAATTAGCACCTTGTTGTAAATTTTGTCCACTCTTTGAGACACAACGTTTGCTTTCGATTAATACATTTTGGACCTCTAATTGAGTTGATCTTAATTTGTCCACGATTTACCGTTTGAAGTTAAATCCCATTCACAATTGATAATGATTAAATAGTTTTCTGTTCCGCAAAATTCTGAATGGGTTCAAGCTTTAAAACGGCAATGCAGTTACGGTTTACTTATTTTTAATTATTTGTCATATTATTATTGTTGTTGTTGTTGATGTCTTGAAAATGCTGGAATGGCCATTGTAACGAGACGTAATCACTTTCTTTGGCGCACAAAAAGTTTTCGTCAAACAAAAAGAAACAAAGATTCGCGGTCAGCAGAGCGCAGAGAGGGAAATCGTCGAAAGCTCTCTCAGGCACACCGCACTCGCTCGCTGCCACTTGATTTTGATCTTTTTTTGCCTCTTTTAGTGAAACACAATGTTTCAGAAAGATGGTCAATTATAGGGAATTCGTCTGTCACTTTCATTGAAAAATTTGAGCAATATCATTGGACGCTTTATTGATTTAGATAATTAAAGTTAGTAACACAAGAATAAGAGGGTCAGAATCGGTAACAGCCTGCAATGTGTACAAAGTATTTACTTAAAAAACTTAATATTCATTCATTATGGTGCAAGCTTTATATTTATATATATATTTTTGTGTGTTACTGCTGGTTACTGCAATAACTTTATAAGCTTCTAATTTCTGGGCCTAATGAAATAGAAAGGATTTAAACTAAAGTAAAATTTTTTAAATAAAAAAATGTCAAAATGTCAAAATTGTTTTTTAAAATTAAAAAATAAACATGTTAGTGAATTAGAAGTTTTTAATTTAAAAAAAAAATTATAGTACAAATTTAATTTTGTTTGAATAAAGAAATGTTTAAACTAATTTACGTGTCAAAAGAAAGACTAACTATACTGATTGTTATTGAGCTCAAACAAATTTTAAAAATCAAAATGGTTTTAAACATCTTTAAAATTTATTGCTTTGCTTATGCACATCTAGAGCTCATGCTTGCGGCAGGTAAAATTTAGTGTTGAGGCTGCTGCTTCATATAATTTTAAAGCTTTTTTTCTAGATATTAAAGTGCTTTGAGCAATGATATGGTCGTTTTCTTCGTTTTCTAAATTTTTGAATATTAGACGATTCTGCGCTAAATGAGATCAAAGCAAAATTCTCAGCTTGCGGCAAGTAAAATTAAGTCCCAAACAATATAATTATTTTAGCAGCAGTGTCCCTTACACATCCTTAAATTAAAATTTCTTCATAATTTAACATTGTCTACACTGAATTACCAGCAAAATAGCTACTAAAGATATATTTTTAAATTTAATTGTAATAAAACACCAAATAATTGAAAAAATTAAATTTTTTTGTTGCAAGGAATACTATTTTTATGCTGAATTGAAGAACTCGACGACTTTTCCTCGTTGCATCAGTGTTTTTTTATTGGTGTTGATTTACTGTTTATTTGGAAAACTAATAATTGAAAAAAACAGCTACTCAGTAATTTTTTCTCCACAGTGCTGACGAAGAAAAATATTTTGTGAAAAAGTGTCAGACTGTAAGAGGAAAAATCTAAAATACTCGAATTATTTTTCTTATTGTTAGAAATGCAAACCCATCCCCTGCCCAACTCTAAACATTACACTCATGGGATAAAAACCGTCCGCAGTATAAATCAAAAAAATTAAAACGATTAATCTTTTTTAAATTTAATATTATAGAACATGTTATAGCTGAATTATTATTATTTTTCTAATTTTTATTGAAATATTAATGGAAAAATTGTCATCTGTTTTCAGGCAAAAGGCACCGGCTGCCGTCTGACATGGGTGGACGAGAACCTGGCCAAGCTTTTCTACAAGCTGGGAGTGCAGGTGGCGATCCGTCCCGGCTACTTCCTGCTGATCCCGCCGCTGATCGCCGCCCTGTTCGCCACCGGCTTCCAACAGATCGAGTACGAAATCAACCCCGAGTACCTTTTTAGCCCCGTCAACGGACACGGCAAGGTGGAGCGACACATCGTGGAGCACTTTTTCCCGCCGAACGACACGACGCGCTTCAACGTGGGCCGCATCACGCGCGCCGGCCGCTTCGGCCGGGTCATCATCGTGGCCAAGGACGGCGGCACCATCCTGCGCACGGACATCTGGCGCGAGATGCGCGTCCTCGACGGCATCATCCGCAACGCGACGGCCGAGTACGACGGCGAGTACTACAAGTACGCCGACTGCTGTGCCAAGTGGCAGGACGAGTGTTTCCGCAACGATGTCATCGAACTCGACCACGTGCTGCCCGAGGTCGAGAACGGCTCGCTCAGGCTCACCTTCCCCGTCATGTTCAACCCGGTCACCTGGGACACGCACATCTTCCCCGTCAACTTCGGCAACACGGTGGTCGACGCTGATGGCACCATCGTCACCGTCCCCGCCGTTCAGCTCGTCTACTTCGCAGCGGCCGACAGCAAGAGAAGAGACGCACGGTAAGACTATTTTTTTACAATTTTCATTTATATTTAATTTAATTTTGAGTCTTTTTTATTTAAGTGAGATGGATTTAACTTTAACTTTTTAATTCATGGATGATTTTTTTATATAATGCATAATTTATGGTTGATTCATGATCTTTTGATTTGACTTTAATGTAAATTTATCAGACTCTTTTCCTTATTGATAGTAAATTTCTTATTTCATTTATGTAGCATGCACTATGTTTTATTAATTATTTAATATTGTTAGAGAAACAATTTAAATTAAAAAAAATTTGGTTTCATCAAAACCGAAAATAAGGGCTAGTTTTTAAATAGAATTTTATTAAAGTATACATATAAAGCATTAAAAAGAATAAATATTCACACCAAATTAACAGAATTATACAAAAATTTCGATCAAATTTTGAGGAAATCTTAAATTTAATTAATACGTTTATACATGTAAATTTAAATTTTAAAAATCTATGAATCTGATAGGTTTTAATATAAATCGTTTTGTAATTACATTTCTGTTCCTTCTCTATTCTAAAATCAGTTACATGAATTAGGGAGTAAAAAATCGAAAAACTCTTTCTTAAATCTAATATAATTACTAGATTAATTTATCCATAAACGTAATTTCTATTGCCAACTTCTTAATTATTATTATTATTATTTATTCTTCTCAGTCGATACAAAAAGTTTAATTTGGGAAAAAAAGAGAAGAAAGGGTTTACAACTAGCAGATGTCTGCTAAAACGCCCGACATCAAAAGAGACACGGCCGCCGCGGTAAACCCACGCTATTGAAAAAAAAAGAACAAATTATACTTTAAATTAAATCAATTGAAAGCTACGGATGATGTTGTTTACATTTCTAATTTAACTTAATTATGTTTTTGACTTTTTGCACTCTTCGTTGTAAATTTCATCATGGCGCTTGAGAGCATAAAATACTTGAAATTCCCCTATTTGCCCATTCGCGTTTTCATCAAGGCATTTTTCGTGGCAATTTTCTCAGAAATAAAACGCGACGCATGAAAGTGCCTTTTGTATAATTGCCGGAGATGTTCAAAATTATAATTGCAATTTGTCGGCGTCATTCTCCATTTTTCAAATCCATGATAATGTCGACGGTATAGTGCGAACTTTGCAAAGATATGCAAAACGACGAGCGCTGCTTTGAAACGCTGCTCACGAAATTTCGCCTGTTTTATTTAATTGTTCGGCAAACCACCTATTTGAATCTCTCAAGGTCTTTTCGGACGATATAACCACTTCTCGAATGTATCATACTCACACTTGTGTGTATTTCAAACTTTGGAAGGCGTACGTGATAAATCGAGATCGTAAAAAGAAGATAAATAGCATAATTAGTAAAAATACGCACAAGGTTGAAAACTAGCTTAGAAAAAGGAATTATTAATTATGCTTTTTCCAGCCGATAAGCATTTAATGGAAATGTGGCAGCACGAAAAATGACTAAAATAAATCATTTGTGTGCAGATTTATTTGGCGATTTCTTATTGCACTGACTAAGTAACACTAGAAGTCAAAATTTGCAAAATGTTGTCTATGCAAATTAATCCGGCGTCCTTAATCGTGTCAGTTTCCAGTCTCTGATTGATGAAAATAAATTATTTGCTAATTTATACACAAAATCTCACTCTGCATTTAAAGCTTCTGAAAATTAGCTGATAAGAGCCACATTTGACAGAATTAAGAACACGCCCAGTGGACGACGTGACTTTGAACACATTTCAATTTAAATGCGAAAAAATTAAATAATTTTATCATGGATTATTTTTAGTTGCAATTATTATTTAAAAATTAATTACTTTTTTCTGTTTCTCTTGATCTTTATCTACATTTATATTTTTTTTTTATATATTCCAAGAAAGTCATTTATCACAAAAATTACTTGAAAATAAATAATTCTTTTGGAAAATATCAATATTGATCCATTACACTTTCCTTGTACAGATCGGTTCAGAGATCTTTTACGCTGCTCGGTCTGCAGCAGTTCCAGAGTAAACTTTCACGCTTTCTGAGAAAACGCCTCGGCATCATAGCTACGGATAATTATCCATCAGATTGCGTAACCCTTGTATAGGCCGGCGGAGGACTGCATAATTTATAAACGCTCCAACGGGGAAAACCGTTGTCGCGATTCAAATGTAACGCAATCTCGAACAATTCACTCGGACGCTCCTTTCAGCTGTGCACAATTATATTGAGTCCAAATTAGGTTGAACCCGGAGAGAAATGTTTATTCCCAAACAACTTATGTGCTAAAGAAGTGCGAAAGTGTGTCAGAAATGATGCCAACGTACGGAGATTGTGTTAGTGAAAACTTATTGGGTTATTTCAATACTAGCTATAAATATCACGCACTTTTGCAATGTTAATTTAATCTCTATTGAGGAAAATGAAGGAGAGATTTATTTAAATAAAACTTCATGGATGACGTTATTTAATTTCGCATTTTTTAGAATTTTATAAATAATTATTTGAAATTGTTGAAATAAAATATCAATTTATATCAATGGAAAAAAAATTATCAAGAAATAATTTTTAATTTAATGAATTCTACTCGTTAATTAATCTTTCACTAGTAGAAATTTAGTCAGGATTCAATTAAATTTATTGAAAAACAATTAATATGAATTTTAATAATTTATTTAATTAAAGTAATTTTATTAACATAAAGTATAAAATTATGCAACTTACGTTTTGCTTCTTGTAAAATAGCCTGTTGATTTCATATAAAATCCATTCCATATAAAGAAAACAATACAATTTTGACTCGCTCAAAAATCGAGGCAACCTCTCGTTTAATCATTTGCCGCCCTGTCATAGCAAATCTTCCTTGACCTTAAATTGAGACAAAAGCGGATTAGACTCACAATTGGGCCGCACCCGCTAAAAAGGTCGTGCGATTATTAATTATTGCGCTGAAAACGATGATTGTCACAATGTCAAACTATCAATTGTCTCTTAATCATTGCTTTCATTGTTCCGCTTCAATTTTTTCTTTATCCTCGACACAAAAGTGCAGGTGCGGCGCGGAAAACCACTTTTCAAAAAATGCAACACCCTCAAGGTTCTCTTGCTATATTTATTCCAGATCCGTTAAAAAATATATTTAGACCGGACGAAACATCGAATAAAACTTTTATAAATTAAATACACCTTTTTTGGGCGACCGCGTGCGTGCTGATCTGAAAAAAATGTAGTTATCCTTGATGCAGGTGTTCCGAATCTTTGCAAAACTCAGCCGTGTGAGAATTAGCCAGGCCATAATTCCACAGTTGCCATAAAGGAAGCGAAATTCCGCGTTAGAGATGTGTGTCTTTTCAAATCTAAATTCAAACCGGTCCAATTTCGCATTTTTATTTTTCCTGAAATCAGTTTCAAGGAAAAATTTGAGCTTAAGCAATGCCACCATGGTGATATTTTAAGGAGAAAGAGGGGGCACATCAAATTAATTATAAACACATGTGGTTTCCTGCTTGGTGTTTTGCACATAGCGGATAACAAGAGATGCGAAAGCTGATTGGAATGTGCTAGGTGCGGAAGAGAAGTACTTGGGCTTCGTCTAGCAATAAAATTTCTGCGGTTTGGACAAGTAGACCATAAGTGTGGATTATAAATTTGCGAAATATGTATAATTGCTATCTTATAAAAAGTTAACAGATCATAAAATGTGAGATTAAAACAATATCATTAAGAAGACGGGTCTAGTTTTGTAGCCGAAAATTTCCTTATAAATTTATGAAGCAATTAATGAAATAAATTATGTCAATTAAGTTATTTTGTTTCCAAATTGGCATTTATGTAGATGAAATTAAATTAATCATTCTTATCAGAATTTCACGATTTTGTTATTTAGCTTTTTTAATTATTTCACAAGTAATACAAAAGGTCTGCGCCTCACAACACAAGCAGGGCAAATTTTTATTGTTGCGAAAGTCCAGAATTGAAAGTCAATTTTTTGTATTTTATTGTTCTAATTTTTGTTAAAACAAACGATTTGGTCAGAGATTGCCTTACCAATAAGGCTTTTTTTGCGTTGTATGTACTATGAATGGAGAATAAATAAATAAATAAATAATAAATAAACTTTATTTGCAACTAAAACAAAACATTTTTTAACTAACAAAAATCTGCTAAGAAATCCAAAAACGTCAGTTAAAAATTGATCTAGATTATTAACCCTGGTCAACAATCAAATCAAAAAGAGGGTAACATTAATTTTTTTTATCATATATAATTGTTAATTTAACAGAAAAGCTTATGCAGAAATTTTACAGTGAAGGAAATATTAATGTTTGGGAGGGAAAATTGAACCGTTGGGACAAGCAAGAATTTTGCTAAAACTTCCAATATCCGCCAAAGTCAGGGTCTCAAATTTCATATGATTAAAATTTTAAAAATAAAAATTGTATGAAATTCTTAAACAAATTTTTATCAGCGATTTCTTATTTTATTTTTAAACAGCAGAAATAAAATTATGTACAAGAAAACTTCATTTGCAAAAAATTATTTTGACAAGCAAATGTTCTGGAAACCCCTCTCGTAAAGTCAGAGCCAATATAATCCTTTCAAACTTGCTTCCTCGTTGCTGGTGAGATCCAGACCAGGTCGTTATAAAGAAGGCAAGGCTTCATTGTGGCGGGACCAGTGACCAAATTCCTGCATTTGCTGTCGCACCAAGGTAACGCCGCTCGCTTGAGTGTCATTGAGATTTTTATCTCTACTTTACCTACAATCACTTTGTTAAAAAAAATTGTCTAATTATAAAGACTCTATAAATTTTTTAGTTTTTTAGAACAAAAGAAAAGCCAATTTTTGCGATAATTGTAATAAATTCGGAAATTTTGTCAGACTCAATTTGACTGTGTCTTATAATCAATTTCTCGGCGGTTTATGGAGTGGAAAATTGGCCGTTTACCACACAAATTATGGTTACATCACCGGCTGCCGGGCTTTGCCTGACGCATTTGGATGTGCATTGGCCGTCAAGAGCGATTTCGGTGTATCCGGCCGGCTCATTGACTTTCTCTGCGGCTGGACCGAACCGACGATCGAGTCCCACGCGATGGAGCTCTTTCTTATTTCCCCCGGACCACTTTCTCCGTCGTCGGTGAAATGGCCTGCGTGTGATGTAATCCCATAATTCCGTCGTTCGGACTCAATGAACACTTTATACACACAACTTCCTCTCCAGCCAATTTCCATTCATTTTTTTCGATACTTTTTCGCCACATTGTTTATACAATCCGCGCCAAGGAAGCGGCGTTTTTTAATTGAGCTTGAAGAGGAAAAGGTTGCAATTTTTTTTTCGAGAGAGGCGTTTTGCTTGAGAGCGATGCAAACAGAAAAATATCCAAAAAATATTATTCACTTCCTCGCTCATCGAGTTGAAAATAAACATTAACTCATGATGCCGACACGCACTTTTTGCCTATTCCGCCACATCAATCATTTGTGTGGGAAAAATGTTTGGACGGGCAGGGTTAAGGGCAAGACGCGGGTCGTTTCGGCGGCTTGTCGGGTCAGCCTGCAGACGAAGGTCGGCGGGCTGATTTGCGTTTGAAATTTCACAAGACGAAAGAATGTATAAATTTGATGCTGTTCAAACATCAGCAAGACAGAAAGGTATTTAATCGAAGGTCTTTTGTCTTTCAAAATTTATTACTTAATTTTCTTTCAATAAAACTAATTTATTGATTTAATCTCAATTTGCTTGAATTGAAAAATAATTTAATTTGGATATTCATGCTGTGACTTTCTTACTGCCCAAAAAATTCAAGTTCGTTGAGAAAAAGTGAATAATTCAGGCCTGAATTTTGATAAAAATTATTCAGTTTGACGTTTTAATTAATTTGCTAATTACAATTTTTCCATTTAGCTTTTTATGGGCCAAATTTCGCTGTGTAATTGTAATAAAGAACTAATTGTAAGAAGTATATTGAAACTAATCCTAATATTTATACAACCGCGGTTGAGTTCAGAAACTGGCCGGTTACCAACGAGTAAGTGGCAGATTTCTATCCAGTTACCGTTGAGTACCAGGACAACATAAGAATAATCAGAATAATTGATATTTAAACAAATAATAGTTCATAACCTTTTTAATTTAATCGAGCTGATATTTTGATTTAAATTAAATGCAATTATATTTTATATTATTGTTATAGTTTATTTTTTTATTTTTAAGGTTTTTTTTATTTGTTTATTAAGCAAATAAAAGAGATTAAGTTGACTGCTGGCTGCGGTAACTGGAATAGTAACCGGTGGTGAGCGACGCCAGTTACCAAAGAGTATCAGGACATCATAAATATAAGAGATCGTGCGTTAAAATTTCCTGATGTTCCATATTTAATTGATTCTTAGCTATCAAATTCAAATTTTTACTAAATACATGGCCTATTACATAGATTTGTACTATCCTCTAAAATCAGGTTATTTAAATTAATTTGTATAAAAAATACAAAACAAAAAAATTTTTCTTTTTGTTTTGTATTTTGTTATTGTAAAAATTTGTATGTAAAATTATCATCTTTTCTCTCAATTATATAAACTTGTATAATTTTGAAAGTATAAATGATGTATCCCGTTATGGGCAGCAATTGCCTTTGTGATAGATCAATAAACACAATTTGCAACTAAAAAAATTTACAAATAATGCCTGACAGTGATTTTGAGAGCCTCAAAACCTGTATTAAAACCATTCAGTACTTTTTAACATTCTAATAGTTAAAATGTGATAAAAAAAAGGTGAAAATCAATTTTATTTGATAGTTTATAATAAATCAAAGAATGCATCTAACGTCGAGAAGGAAACTTTCTGGAGAAGAATTTAGTGCCGCCAATAAATTCTACACGTTTCGGAACTTTATTGACGGCGGATAATATAATACTAAATAGCACAGGCTGTAGTTCTCGTTGTGCAACGAGAAATGCAATTAAAGGACGAGGAAGCGAGGCGACGTTTCTCTCGCGCCCGCGATTGCAGCTATAGATCGACAACGTAATTGCGAGAGTGTAAATATAAGTCAGATTTTATGCTATTATACATGCACGCCACATACATATACACGCCATACAAACGAATAGGTGCGCAAACACGGCGCACGATATGTGGGTTAGCAACTTAGCATGCCGATTATGCTGTCACTTCGCCACCAACTTTGGCTCCAATCCCATCACCAACTACAGCAATTGTTGGACTCGAAACAAATGAAACTGTCCGAATTGCACAATAATTAGGGCAGTCCAGACTTTGATAAAACGTTATCGAACTTACTTGAATTAGAAAAAAAGAATATAAGTAGATTTTAGCAACTTTACATGTTTAATTGAGTTAAAACTTATAAATATTTTATATCGGTCAAATAATCCAAAAAGTTTATCCAATTTAGAAAAAATAGTGTGATTATTTTTTAAGTTACTAAAAATTACATTGTAAGGTTCAATTATTAAATGATTTTATAGAAAATATAATTATATTTATAAAAATCTCGTTTATATTTATTATTTTTATTTATAAAAAAATATTAATTTTTTTATATAAATTTAATATTATTAACAATTTAAATCTTTATTCTGATTTTGATAAACATGTTTAAAACATTACAGAAACGAAGTCTCAAGCATAATATAACATCAGTGTAATATCGGTTAAATAAATTTATATATTAAATCCAAAAAACGTAGTGTATCTAATTTATATTCACACATTATCTCAATCATTCCCGCCTAGTATGTATTAGAGTTTTTTTTTATGGATTGGGCTTCAAGAGTAAATGGTTTTAATGTAATAAATTATAAATGATACTTCTAAATTAAAAAAGAAAAGAAAAAAATGAGAAAAACCAATTATTCTTCTTAGTTTCAATCCCAATTAACTTATTTCATTTATTCTTAAAAAAGGTATTTTGCTTTTTTATTTGAAAAGAAGAATAATTTCCATAAGCTCAGCATAAGCTTAATGTAAATTTTGAGACAAAGCTACCCATTGATTTTACTTTGTCATACTAATTAATTGGAGTGAATTAATTCATTTAAATACAAAGAATTTGATGATTTATTAGAGTGGAACAAGAAACAGAACAATTTATGCAATAACATTACAAATCGAAATCTTTAAATTTACATACAATCCTTTAATTAAAAACTTTTCGATCTCAAAATGATAAGTTTTTTTGCACATTTTTTATTAATGTTCATCATGATAAAACATGTACTATTTTGTAACATATTTAATTATTTTTTAATCCATTTATTGCAACTAATCCAATTTGACAAATTTCGGTTTGCAGAGGTGCTCGATGGGAGGAAGCGTTCCTGGACGCGGTTGGCGAGGCTGAGGACAGCGGCATGTGGGAGCACATCTCGACGGCCCGCTTCGCGTCGCGCACCCTCGACCTCGAGCTGGAGAAGAACACGCGCACCGTGGTGCCCTACTTCAGCACCACCTTCATCATCATGGTGTTGTTCTCGGTGACCTCGTGCATGATGGGCGACTGGGTTCGGTCCAAGCCGATCCTGGGGCTGCTGGGCACCGTCAGCGCCATCGCCGGCACCGTTTCCGGCTTCGGCTTCATTTGCTACTGCGGCGTCAAGTTCATCGGCATCAACCTGGCGGCGCCCTTCCTCCTTGTCGGTCAGTCTTTCTCACCGCTATATTTCCATTACTTTTAATTGCAACTCGCATCTATATAACTGACCGTCGCTCCCATTCCCATGCAGCCACGTGCCTGCATTGACACGCTTCTCGCCAATTTATTTTAAAATGGAATTCGGTGGAAAAAATTAAAATATAAAGTTGATTAAAAAAGGATTTTAATAAATAAGTTAATTTTCAAAATAGAAATTTCTAAAATATGAACTCAATTTAACTGCTTTATTTTTTAGAGATATTCTTTTATTAAAATTTACTTTTTGATTTATAATTTAAATTTTTTTTTTCATATTTTCATTTTTAATGTGCAGCTAATCTTTAATATAAATTTTTTTTTAGTAAGTAAATTAAAATAACAATTAATAATTGTTTTCGCTAATATGAATTTTGTCAATCTTGTATGCTCTTGCTTCATTTAGTTGCCAAATTGTCTTTTCATTAGACTTGATTTGTAATATCACGGAGAGAGCTAAATTATATATTTCCATTTTTTGACCGATTAACTACTGCGGCCACTCATTCTCTCGTCGTGAATTGCAGAACTAAAATGTGCAATTTGTGCACCTTTCATGTTTCGCTACGCAAATATATATATATATTTTTTTGCGCAATCTTGGATTACGTAAAATACACACACTCTGCTCCACTTTTGACGAAATACTGTTTCCCATAGTCAAAAGCTCGTTTCGGTAAATTTTGTTCCTTCAAATAAACAGGTGGCCACTATTCGAGAGAACAATATTTCTGCGTCCGACACAGCCGTGGCCACGCTCTGATTGCGCACTTTCTGCAGTTGATATAGTCGCTGCTGTTATTTAGCTTTTAAACAATTATTCGAGCTCGGCCTCTCTCTTAAAATTTTTTGCCAGAATAATCAATGATTTTTTTCTTTCTTAGAATAAATGAAGCTGTTTTGATTGGAAAAAATTATGCGGTTTGCTTTAATCTTTAATTTGAAGTGTGTATTAAAAAAGTCGATTGCTTATTACAAGAGACGTGTGTAAACAAGATTTTTCACTCCTATACACTTCCGTGGTGAAGGTGTGTTGTGAATTATATCGCGCGCACTCACCATAGGGGTTTCAGATTTAAGAGAAAGGATCGGAAAGAATGGGAACTGAGAGCGGCGATTTTTCTTCCTCGTTGAAAATTTATATAAATTTTGTTAGAATTATTTTTAGTATTTTTTATATAAAAAAATTAGTAAAAAAAATCTTTGCATTGAAGGCATTGGAATCGATGACACGTTTGTGATGCTGGCCGCGTGGAGAAGAACTCCCGTGACCCTGCCGGTGCCAGAGCGAATGGGTCGCATGTTGGCCGAGGCTGCCGTGTCCATCACCATCACCTCAGTCACTGACGTACTGAGCTTCTGGATTGGTCTAGCATCCACTTTCCCCTCAGTACAGATCTTCTGCTTATATACAGGTTTGTTTTATATATAATTTGTTAAAAAATGTTTTTTAAATTAAAAAAATATATTTTTTGAGAATTTAAAACCCAAAGAAACCACTCGGAACGGGAAATAATTTGAATTAGTACTTATAACTAAACGCCTTTTCCTAAAATAAAAATAATTGTAAAAATAAATGTTAATCTTTCCAAAAATAATTAAATTTTTTATTTGAATGTAAAAATTTTTGATCAAAAATAATTATTACAATATAAAATATTTAAATTTTTTTTTAAATTGAACAACACAATTTTTATTATAAATTATGTTATTTAATTAAAATTTTGACATTACATAATCGATATGATTAAAACGGATGAATATACAATAATTTAAAAAAATTTAAATTTAAATAAAAAACAAAATATTAAATTCATGCCATTTTTGCTTCAGATTAAATATCTGTTCAAGATACAATAAATTGCCGTTTAATTTGATATAAAATTATTTTGTTTCTTTGTTTTTCATTTAGGAACGGCTGTTCTGTTCACCTTCTTGTGGCACATCACCTTCTTCGCCGCGTGCGTCGCGCTCTCCGGCTACGCGGAGCACCGCAACCTGCACTCCATCACCGGCATGAAGGTGAAGCCGGTGTCCGAGTCGGACGAAAAGTCGTGGTTCTACCGCCTCTTCTGCACCGGCGGCATTTCCCAGCGCGACCCCTACAACCCGCGCGACAACAAGGAGCACGTGGCCATGGCCTTCTTCAGGGACTGGGTGGCCTGGGCGCTCAACTGCGGCCCTGTCAAGGCCATCGTCATCGTCGTGTTCGCCGCCTACCTGGCCGGCGCCTGCTACGGCATCACCAACCTCAAGGAAGGACTCGAGCGCCGCCACCTGTCCAAGGAAGATTCCTACTCGATCAAGTTTTACGATTTGGAGGACGAGTACTACCGAGAGTTCCCGTACAGAATACAAGTATTTTATCAAAACGAAAATTAGAAAATTATTTTAAAAAACATTGTTAATTTTTCAGGTGATTGTGGATGGACCTTTGAATTATTCCAATAGAACAGTTCAAGCAGAAATAGAGAATTTGATGACCACGCTTGAAAATACTTCTTACATCACATCTCCCCTTTATTCCGAATCCTGGCTCCGTTCATTTGTGACCTATGTGGACCGTAACCAGGACTATCTCAATATGTCCATCGATACTGAAGAGGATTTCATTAAAACGTTGAAGAAGGTTATTTGATTTTTTTTTTATTAATATTCAAATAACGCATGAAATTTAAAAATTCAATAATTTTTAGTATTGCATCCCAACTGAAAAAGAGATGAAGAAAAAGTCTTTTTTGCCTTCGACATGTTCGGTGCAATTTTTAATATATTTGTTGTTTTTGTGAATGAAAATTCTAATCTATTCAATGTCTGCCTCCAGCTTTACTTGTCCTCGCCGAATCCCTTCTCTTTGGACATCAAGTTCAGCGATGACGAAAAGCACATCATTGCCTCGAGATTCCTAATCCAGGCGGTAAACATCACAGACGCTAACCACGAACAAGAAATGGTAACAGACCTGAGGAAGATCTGCCGCGAGTCCAACCTAAACGCCACCGTTTTCCACCCCTACTTTGTATTCTTTGACCAGGTAAATATTTTAAAATTAAAATTTAATAAAGTGTTAAATTTTTTTATTATTTTAGTTTGAACTGGTGCGTCCGACCTCGATTCAGTGCATGGTGCTGGCCGCCCTGGTGATGATGGTCGTCTCGCTGCTCTTCATCCCGAACGTCCTGTGCTGTTTCTGGGTGGCTTTCTCAGTCATCTCGATCGAGACCGGCGTGGTGGGCTACATGGCCCTGTGGGGCGTCAGTCTCGACTCGATCAGCATGATCAACTTGATCATGTGCATCGGTTTCTCTGTCGACTTCACGGCGCACATCTGCTACGCCTACATGTCCTCCAAGGCCAAAGAACCGGAGGAGCGTGTCCGGGAGTGTCTGTACGCGCTGGGCCTGCCCATCATGCAGGGCGCCATGAGCACCATCCTGGGCGTGATGGTGCTTTACTGGGCCGGCAGCTACATCTTCCTCACCTTCTTCAAAACCGTCTTCCTCGTCATCTTCTTCGGCGCCATGCACGGCATTCTCCTCCTCCCCGTCCTGCTCTCCCTCTTCGGGCCCGGCTCCTGCTGTCCGGACGACCCTCTGGACGACGATGACGTCATCACCGTCACCGACGGACTCAAGATCGACCAGATCAGGGCGCGACAGGAGGCGCGACAGGCGCGCATCCCGCGGGCCCCGCACCTGATGCACCCGGCCGCCTACAACCTCAACGTGCCCCACGCCCACCCCCACCTGGTCCTACCCTTCGGGGCAGGCAACAAGAATAAGCAATGGGAGGCCCCTGCGGAAAAAGACCTCGGTCTCGGCACCTCGGCCGAAGAGGAGTCGAGCCAGTCGAGCAGCAAATCGGGCAAGTCTGGTGGTGGCCGCACCAACAACCAGAAACAAAAGAGCCCCAGGTGTTTCCAGCCGCCGCACCTGATGGAGGTCTACAACAACAGCGGCTACGTCAGTGACGACGAGCAGCGGCGCTGGAGCCGCCACAGGGCCTCCAGAGGGGACGAGGTGGCGCGCTACCTGCACCACCACCCGCAGTACATGGGCTGGTACCGCAAGTGATGGCAAAGACTTCATTATGTATGTCGCACCAGTGATTAATTAATTAATTAAAATGTTTTTTTTTTTAACCACGGGAGAGTCTCTCAAGTCTCAAGGTCCATGGGCGGATTAATTTTTTTCTCTTCTCGGGAAAAACTTCTAGAGGGGTTTTTTTAAAGGCGGTGCATTCATTTTAATTTTGTTATTTGCAAATATTGTCGTCCGCCCTGCTGACCTGAGCCCTCCCGGACGCATTGAAGACTTTGTACTTCTTCGTCGTGCGAGTGCCTATGCCGAGAATGAGGCGACCGACGTATGTTCTAGTTTGCGCGCGTCATGACTCTGGTTAATGGTGCTCGATTAACGGAGACTTCTCATGACCGCCACACCGATTTTTATATATTAATTATAAACAAAGCTCAAAATTTAAGAGATATTCAATTATGTACCCGACGACAAGAGAAATAAAAATAATAAAATGGTGGTTTAAAGTTCATAGAGGAGAATAAAATAAATATGATTGCTCACTCATCGTCAGAGAAATAAATTGTGGACTTAAATTAGCGAGGATATTTCTTAACGCGAAGATAGTTTAATGAGACGCCATCGTGTATTAGTTTTATAAGATGAGAAGAACGTGTGCGAATGACTGTAAATAAACTTAAAAATGTGCATATAATTTTATTTGATTATGACGTGTATATTCTAATAAATAAAAAGTTCAATAAATTTGATAGAGTTATACAAAAAAAAGCAGAGATTTTATTGTGATCGTAATCATGGCAAAACACCTTAATTTTACAGTTCAATACAAGCTCATCGAAAAGTACATGAAAATACTTTGCATATTCATCAAAATCTAAGCATTGATTCGGAGAAAAGATAGAGAATTAAGTATCTACCTACGAGTCAAGAATCTCGGAAACCCACTTGGCGAGCTGCTTCCTGGGGAAGGCGGCCTTGAGCATGTTGACGTGAGCGTCGCTGGTGCCGTCCTTGAAGATTTTGCACGCGGCCTGCACAATGTGTGTGCCGCAGAAGACATCGAAGATCGCCTGCATGGGCTCGAGGTCGCCGCTCATCACACCCACCGCCATCAGCTCGGTCAGTCTTTTCTTGCCGAACAGCTCCATCATCTCGCCGTCCTCTATAAGGCCAAACATGAGCTTAATCAGTTGCTCCCTGCGTTGCGGGTCCTTCAGCAGGGTCTCCAGAAGCAGACAGACTTGCTGCTCAGAGAAAATTCCAATCGCCGCTGGTATGGTGGTTTTCTCCATCAGCGCTTTCAAGCAAGTCTGCACCACTTGGTCGTCCATGTGCTTATCTTGAAGAATACCGGCCATGCTGTTTTGCTGCAAGTAGACGGCCAGTTTCTCCAGCGATTTCTCCAAACACTCGCTGACTACAACAGCCTCTTCCGAGTTAAGTTTGTCAATGGCCATCTCCAAAACTTCCTCGTTGCTTATTTTCTTGACAAGTTTGTTTCGAATGGTGGTTTTCTTCAGGTCAATTTGGTTCAAAATTTCTTCCTCACTGCATTTATTTAGGACAAAGTTTTTCAACTTTTCACTTGGGTGTGAAATTTCGCCTACATCCATCTTAGACTCGAATTTCTGTCTGATCTCTTCAGCCGATTCGTCAACCTGGGACTTGATTTGATTAAACACGCAATTTGCCTGCACATCGCTGAAGGAAACTTTGCCTTTGGCACATTGATCTGAAATGCTTTGAACCAATACTGGAGATCCCAAACTTGCAAGGAAGTCTTGAGCAAATTCAGAATTGGTCTCGATCAAGCTGCGTACGTGATCTTCAACTGTGGATTGGGAAAGAGAGTCACAGACTTTGTCTTCAATGTTCTTGAAAGCGTTGGTGAGATTTACTTTGTCCATTGAGCTTAGGACTTTGTTAATCATGTCGGTGGAGTGGTCGAGATTATTTTGAATGAACAATGATATGTCTGCTGACACTTCATCTACTGGCTTCTTTTGCATTAGACGGCCCAAATTAACACCATTTTCGGCGTAGGACTGAATTTCTGGCTCGTCGTCCAACATCTGAAGAATTTGAGATGTTTCTGATCTGCTTTTCAGTTCTTTCAACAACTCTGAAGTGCTCTTGGAAGCCAAAACATTCTCATTTCGCGACTCCAACTCAATCATCAGTGTTTTTGAATCTTCCTGTTGTAAAAAGAGCCTTCTGAACTTTTCCTTTTCACTTTCAGTCAGGTTGGCAAAAATTTCATCAGCAGTTTTGACACGTTCAGGACTTTCTGGTACATCCATGGACTCTGGCAAAATTTCCTTCACTGCGATCACTTCCTGGGTTTTGAGAACTTCAGTGTCCATGGCCAATGAGGATTCCACCAGAATTTGACTGTTATGGCCAACTTCCTGGCTTGTATGACTGTCAATTTTACCAGCAGACGTGTCTTTGTCAATTGATTCGATTATTGCATCAGCCTCAAGCCCAACAACTTCATCCTTCTCTGGAATGATCCGCTCCTCGACTTCCTGCTTGTTTTCACTTTCTGCTCTAACAACTTGTTTTGTCTCTCGAATATTCTGGTCATCAAGTGAACTGGTTTGGTCGTCAATCATATCTTCTGGTGCAGCTTCCCTTGCGTGAGTAATCAATAATAAATCAGGCTGACTTGCTTCTACAAGTTCCACGGGCTTATCTTCAGTTTCATCGGCTACGGATTTTGGCTTCTCTTTCAATTCTCCACCATCCTCAGGAGAACTTTCTTCAGAAGTTATCACTTCTTCGATAACTAAACAAAATGAAACACAATCAATAAGAGAAAACTTTTACAAGAACAAGCACAACATGACGTGTAGAATTCACTGAGTATTTACCTGGAACAGTGTCAAGGTGTGTGGTAACGATTGATATGCTTTCAGTATCCACATGTTGAGATAGAGGCATTTCTTCAATCTCTGTTGTGAAATCATCGTCATTGCAATTTTCCTCCTGGGCTTCAACCAGTTCCTAAAGCCAAAGTTGAAAAATTTGCTGAAAATTTTATTCTACATAATACCTTGAGAACAGTCTTGACTGTGGCTATTTTAGGCTCTTTGAGTGGCAAACCAGCAATGGCAAGATCAGAGAGCTGGTTCAAATCGTGAACGGTAAATATATTCATCTCAGTCATCTGCTTGGTGAATTCATCAACAAGCATGGGCGACACAAGCTTGGGTGCTATTTCGGCCAGAGGGACCATGCATTTATCAAGTGTTGGCTCAATCGGTCCGTCCCTCTCAGTTGGCTCTTCATTCTCTAGACTGCCCTGAGAAATTGGATGCTCTTTAATGAGCTGGAATCCATCTGTTTAAGCATAAATTAGTGAAATAACTTTTGCTGTAATAATTCCAAACCTTTTGGAGCCATGAGTAATTTCCTTGAAGCTTTCATTTTCTTCTTTGTAGCTGGAGACTGTTTGTAGTAGTTATTGTAAACCTGTATATCTTGCAATATATTAGGGCTGTCCTGCTGGCCGCTTACAACGGGTTCAGCAAAGCTAACTCGCTTTGAACGCTGGAAAGAAAATTTTGTAAATGAAATATTAAAATATATCGTCACTAAACAAACAAACCTTTGGAGATGGAGAAGGTGACTCATCTTGTTTGTCTCTTTTTAAATTACTTCGCTTTCTGTTAGAGCTCAGTGGAGATGATCTAAAATTTATAATTAGTTCCCAGATATCAAACTGAATATAAAGATACTTACACTGCACTGGAAGGAACGCTATTAATGGTTGGCGACGAGTCATTCTGTTTAGAAAGATCCAACTTTGAGGAAGACAGTGCCTTCAAACTGGACATGACCTTTTGGGGTGCACTGGCTTCGGACTGCTTGCTTTCTTGAGCGGATGTTGGTTCTTTGGTGGTAGTGACAAGACCGACCATCTGTGCTGCTCTGCCTCGAGGTCCTAGACTTTTCATAGGGGGCAAGCTTTTCCTCTTGTTCACAGGAGCTGACGACTCATTCTCCACTGGGGCAACATCATCTTCTTTGCTTACTCTCACAGGTGGTGGCAAAGTCACACCTTGCCGGTTACAAGCCCTCATGACTTGGAGTGCTGCCTGATCAAGTTCTGGTTTTGGAGCAGTTTGAATTGGCACAGTGGAGTAGTTCTGTGAGTTTTCAACAAATTCAATATCCTAAAAAATTGCAAAGGTCAATTATTTTACAAATCAATTTATAATTTATGCGACTCTAAATTTTTACCTGCGACTCTTTCACTATTTGAACAGTCTCTGGAGACTCTTGTACAAGACCGCCTTCTTCCTGGCTATTCATAGACTTGTTTTCGTCAGTTTCCTGGCTCGAGGTTTTTTCTTCGGTTGCTTTTACTTGAGCCAAATCAATATCCACAGCTTCTTCGTCCCAAACAGATGTGGCCATGAGTGGAGGTGGCTTAGAAAGTTCAGCAACTGGAGATTCGTCCTGCGTGTCTTGAGACATCTGCGTATCTTGTGAAAGACCTTGATACAAAGCTGGGATGTCTTCACGTCGCCTTCTTTTCACTTCCCTCTGGTGAGGTGTGAGTGGCTTTTTCATTTTTGGTTGACTCGTTATTTTCACAAAGTCCTAAAAAACAATCAAATTGATAATTTCTCCTCCAGAATTTAATTAAAATAATTCTACTTGAGAATCAAGATCCTCCAGACTTGGTTTCGCAGGAGAAAGCTTCTGGCTGGGAGACGCAATTTTACTCGTTTGGCTCGTAGGAGGCGGAGGAGTCTGCCCTAAAAGTATACTTCTCTTCCTTGACTGAGTAGTTCTTTTCAGGACAGGCGTCTTCGGAGTTGAAACATCAGTGGAAGACTTGGGTCCCTCATTCTTTGATCCAAAAGAGTACATGTAAATCATTTCTTTAGCTGCGTTGCAGACTTTAATGTCTGGATGATCAGTAAGCTCAATTAGTTTTGGCTTCAACGCCAACAGTTCGTTCCGTTTTACTGGCGATTCCGAGTTAAATGCTCTCTTAAATGGAGCCGCCATTGATGTCCAAGGATCAGTGACCTATAAATTATTGCATTCAGATTTATTCAAACTTAAAATAATCTCTCAACTAACCTCCATTCGATTGTTTGGCCAGTGGTTCACAGGGCTTCTGGTGAAAATCTCATAGAAGGCTCTTATGGCTCCAATAATCACATCCGAAGACGAAGTAAGCAAGGCAAGATTTCCAAGAGCTTTGGCAACAATTGGTGTCATTTTTCCAGCAACAGATGGACTCTCGTCAACCAACTTGCACAACAGCTCAGTCAGTTTGGACAAAAGTTTCAGCTCAGCACTCTCTGCTTCTCGACATGCCGCTTTCCCGAAGAAGCGTGTGTAACTTGCGCTTGTCCTGACCAAGATGAGCTTAGTGACGACCTTTACGATTATTTGAAATATAGTTGGCGAGTATCTTTCAGCCTTTAAGAGCTCCGTGATTTTGCTGTACATATGCTGGCAAGGGTCAACCTTGTCCACGGATAGCGACAGATGGACTGCTTCCGTGAAGTCGAAGAACAAAGTTTTCAAGGCTGACACAATAGCATTTTCAACCTGGGAAAAAAATTGATATCAAATTCATGATTTAAAAAAAAAAAATTAATCTTACCACCAAGGATGTATCCAGAGAACCATACAATATCAGCTTAAACGGCATCAAAATGAGGTCCATATACATTTGCTGGCCCTGAAGGTTGCTGTCCTTGTTGAAATATTCCTTGGGGAATTTGTGCATGAACCTGCTGCACTGCTCCCACAAATGCAGGCACTTTTTAGACATTTCGCCAGCAGAAATATTTTGCAGCTCGGTGAGTGTTGAAACAAGCAGCATGGCTCTGGCCAAACTGCCAGGCTGCACTACCAGGGTTTTGGAAGGCACCAGTAACCGTCCAAGCACAGCACATTGTCTGGAATAAAATCATTTGTTTAGTTATATTATTGGGATATAAAGTAAAATACAACTAAAGAATAAAGAATGGAAACAATTGATTCTTATAATTAATAAAAATTATATTTTGTGATCCGCAAATTAAAACAAGAAATTGAATAAATAAAACGTACCTTTCTTCAGTCTTCACAATGATTGGTTTGGCATGCAAAAGCAGGTGCTCCTGATGACAGAGAAGTTGGAACAAAAAGTCACGCGGAGAAGTGTTGTTTAAAATTTGCAACTTCAAGTCCATCAAGGTCCCAGGAAGCATGTCGGTCAAAGACTCAGCAGCAAAAATGAGCAGATCCGTGTATCGTTTCTTGATGACAATTTGGTCCATCAGGGTCACTCTTAAAATTTTTAAGAGCTGGGCAAGAATGTCCGAGCCGAACGGAGTATTTTCGTTGCAGAGCAGCACAATCCTGTGGATGGTGGCCGTCATGAGAACCTCGAGCGGTTTGATTGACAGCTCAATTGGCTGCTTCAAGAGAACATCGATCGACTTGGTGATATAATCAGCTAAACACAAAAAGGTCTTGCCATCATTGATGAGGGGAATGGGGCTCTTGAAGGGGGTCTCGAGCTGCGCCAATTGCTCGTTAGCCACACCAGTTGCAACCAATGAGGTCATCAGCAAGAGGGCAGTGTGCACTGCGTCAGGGTACTTGCTCAGGACGTAAGAGGAAGGCTGCTCGAAAGGCCCAAATGCAAAAAGCATAAAGGGCTTGGTCACCGTTTCAGCATGCATGTCCATGTAAGCACCAAGGGCTGCAAAGAGGTGCCACCAGAGTTTCAATTTGACCTCTAGCACATTAGAATCTCTGACATTTCTGGCCTTAAGAGGTATGGCCAAAAGGCCCACACGCCGAGAGACAGTGATCATTTTTGGATTGAGTGCAAAGTTGTCGATCAGGACCTTCCAGCAGTTGAGGGACCACATAATGGACTGCGTGTCCTTCCGCTTCATGCCCTTTTCTAGCACGCTGAGTATTCTATTAAGGAACATGTTGTCCGCATGAAGGCTGCGACCCATCTGTTCTATGATGAAGATCCACATGTCAGCCCATTGACTATTCTGCCGCTGAATCAGCGTTTCCATCACTGGCACAAGTTTGTCGTTGCATTCCTGGCGGAACTGCATCATGCCCTTTGGAGAGAGCTCCAGGTTTCGAGTGGCGGAGAGGGTTTTGATCGTCTTGGCACGGACGTCGTCGTCATAGCTGTCGCTCAACTGCCGCAGAAACTGGAAGAACTGCGCCTCGGTCGACGGGTTCATCAGCTTGCGGTCGGAAGCCTCGGCACTCATGGTTGCAGAGGACGATGCTTCAACGCCAGGCACAATTTATGGCTCATTCAGTCCCAGGTCTGCAAATTAATACATTATAAGATTCTGTAAACAGACATAGTTTGAAATGAAAATTCTAAATAAAAGGAGGGAAATATTGCGTAGACAAAAAATTTGTAAAGAGAACTTACAAAAAAGAATATTACATGCAGTGGTTGCATACAGTGGATTTGCACGAATAAATGAAGAAGATAAATCTACGGAATTAAATTTGTGAAAATTGAGAACCAAGATGCAAGATGAGAACGAGCGGGAAACACACCACATGTTTACGATTTAGGCCAATCAGAGAAGCAGGAAACAAGCGAATTCGAGAATACTTAAAGTGACGTCACAAACGGTGTATAGGAAAGAGCAACACCAAATTAATTTTAACTGGTTTTTTTCATCCAATTTTCAAAGAAATTAAACAAACAAATATCCTTTTTTGAAATTATTTTTGTCTAGTATTTTTCATCTAAGAATAAATTCTAACCATTATATATAAAATTTTTGGTATTTTATATCCTCTACTTCTCCTGTTTGTACTTCACATGCATGACATCATATTTTTTAGACCAACCAGAAGCAAGATCTTGTCAACTTGTCTGCGCGCCGGGATAAGAAAAAGAAACTGTTTTGTTTTGTCGTTGCAGACTTTTTTTTCCAGTTTTCTGATTGTTAAAAGAAAGTGTTAAGAACTTTTGTTTTTCGAAATGCACAACGCCAGGGACAGATACAAGAGGAACGGTCTGAGTAAAGACGGAGGAAAAGAAGCAAGAGTTTCTGCCATGGCCGAACAACGCAAAGCCAGCAGGGCCAAACGTGCTGCCTCTCGTCCCATAGACGTGTGCGGGCCAGGTTGGCCAACACAAAGGGAGAATAATAATTAAATTAAACTCCAGAAGATTCTTTTAATTCGTATATTGTAGTAAGGCGGTGTTGTACATTCAGGATGTGTTGGTATTAGAATCGGAAGTTGAAATTCGAATTGAACTGTAAAAACATAATACAATCAGTACAATGAATTACAAACATGTTATTTGAGTATTGGTAATTTGAGTGGAGGCGCCGGCATTGCTCGGCCGGCGAACAGTTTTAGGTTCGGCGTTTTGGGTTAAATTCACTGGCGGGGCCGGTGATTATGCACTTATTCACTGGGCGGGTCATTTTGCCGTCAAGGGAAATTGCACAGAAAGGTTCTTACCCCATAAGTTTGGGTTCAGGCGAAGGTTTGTTGAGTGAGCGATTGAGACGCGCGCTCCATGGCTGGCTTGGGGCGCGAGAATAAACGTGGTTGGGCGGGGCTCACATTGCATGGGAGTGCTGCAGGGTGCAGCACAGGGTGGTGGAGTGGTTTAGTCTTGACTAAACGATTTGTAGTGGGCAGCGGGAAACCGCTGACCGCTACATAGGCCCCCACTTGGAGACCGGAGGTCACTCTCAGTATGTTTCTCTCGGTGAGGTGTCTCTTGGCGAGAAGGTGTCTCTTGGCGAGAAGGTGTCTCTTGGCGAGAAGTTGTCTCTTGGCGAGAAGGTCACTCTTGTATAGGCTGGAGTGAACGAGGAATTTGAGGCGTTGGACTTTTGCTGAGTCCAAAAACAGGAGAACTTGGAAGCTCTGTATGTTGGTTGATTCCAGCCGGGGGAACTTGGCGTGCTGGAAGGTCGTTGGTCCGATCAGCTCTTTCAGGTGTGTCCGACAGGGTGTGTCCCCAAAGGTGACGAGAAATAGCTATGTCTCGTTTGCGCGGTGGGTTGCAGGTCACATATACTTGCCGTGTCGGTCCGAGTTTGAAGGCTCGTGTCGGCGTCGCTGATGTATGCTCTGATTCAGACGAGAGTTCTGCATAAAACTCGTGTGGAGCAAAATTGTGAGTAGGTGCAGCGACAGTTTGGAAGCGCGGTGCAGTGTTGTCTGACGGCTTCTGAGGAGAGGTTCGATCCTTGGTAAGTGTAGGTTCGAAGGACACTGGAATGATGTAATGCTCGTTTAAGAGGTTTTCAGGACAAATTGATTTTGAAAGGTTTATGCCCTGTGTTTGTGTTGCGTTTATGATATTTACGCTGCTGTCCAAAGATTTGGCCTTGGCGGTGGCCACGGTTGCTTGCATGTGAGGAGGCGTGGCTGCTGACAGCATTGGTGTTGGCGGTGTTGTGACGGCATCATGGCGAAAGCTCGTCGTTCGGCGGTCTGCCGAATGTGTATGTTAGTTCTGTCACTCGATGGCTTGATTTGTTGAAGGCGATTCTGCGTTGAAGCATCGCGTTCGGTATCTTGTTCGGGGTCACCATTTTGTGCGGGCCAGGTTGGCCAACACAAAGGGAGAATAATAATTAAATTAAACTCCAGAAGATTCTTTTAATTCGTATATTGTAGTAAGGCGGTGTTGTACATTCAGGATGTGTTGGTATTAGAATCGGAAGTTGAAATTCGAATTGAACTGTAAAAACATAATACAATCAGTACAATGAATTACAAACATGTTATTTGAGTATTGGTAATTTGAGTGGAGGCGCCGGCATTGCTCGGCCGGCGAACAGTTTTAGGTTCGGCGTTTTGGGTTAAATTCACTGGCGGGGCCGGTGATTATGCACTTATTCACTGGGCGGGTCATTTTGCCGTCAAGGGAAATTGCACAGAAAGGTTCTTACCCCATAAGTTTGGGTTCAGGCGAAGGTTTGTTGAGTGAGCGATTGAGACGCGCGCTCCATGGCTGGCTTGGGGCGCGAGAATAAACGTGGTTGGGCGGGGCTCACATTGCATGGGAGTGCTGCAGGGTGCAGCACAGGGTGGTGGAGTGGTTTAGTCTTGACTAAACGATTTGTAGTGGGCAGCGGGAAACCGCTGACCGCTACAGACGAATTCGCTGAGGTTTCCTCCGGCGAACAAAATGGTAGGGAAATTGCTGCCTTATGCCTTATTTTTTTTCTTTTATAAATATTTAAATCATCATTCAATTCATCAATAAAATTTTCAATTTAATAGCCATTAAAAAATTCACGAATTTTATCAAAATGTTTAAAACTTGCAGTCAGCCATGTGGAGAATGCTCCCGTGAGGAAGAAGAATTTGAAGGAATCCCTACAAAAATGGCAAGAAGAGAAGAAGATGCGGCGAGAATTACAACAGTCAAAGATGCGCCGACCTGAATTCAAAGTGTCTTCACACGTTGAGACCGTTCCTGTCAACAAACTTCCTGTTCTTCGCTCCTCACTGGCTTATAAGAATGTTACGGCTCGAGTTGTGAGTTTTATCAGAAAATAATAAGACTGATAAAATTGAATGTTTCAAAATAATATTATGTTGCAGGACACTCGAAGGGACAATGCCGGGCCAACTTCATTTAAACCCATGCGTACAGAAGTGCCATCCAAGTTTAATTTTGGAGCTAAAAAGGTGGAGGCTCTCACAAATTCAGGAAACATTGTGCCTTTTGTTTTCAATGCCCCTACCCCTGTGCCTGTCAAAAATGTCGACATTAGTGTCAAGAGTGGTAAAGGGAAGGTATAATAAAATATTGAGCTTAAAATGAAAACCCTGGCTACATTTATGTGTTTGTAGAAAGAGAAAAGAGCTCCAGTGGCTTTCAAGACTCCAGAAAAAGCCCTCACTCCTGCAGCCAAACGCAAGAAGGTATGATAAGATTATTATAATTTATAAATATATTTAAATAATTCTTTATTATTAGTACCCCACCACCCCTCGTCCTGCCTTAGTGACTCCGAGCACTAACAAAAATGATGAAAAGACTAATCAGACAGATGCGTCTCTCAATGTCTCATTGAACGCACCATCCAAACAATTTTTGACTTCTCCAGAGGTAATTTGTTGAAACAGTTTTAAACCACAAAATTAAACAAAATTCTTTGAAATTTTCTTTAGACTTCTCCTCCTGCCAAGAAAGTTAGAGTGTCTGCTTCTGGCTCGTCACCAAGTCAAACTTCTGAGGTACCCAAGAGGGAAACCAAATCAAATAGCCTAAAAAGAAAGTCGGCTAGAATTGCTGAGCAGCTCCCTGCCGAGGCTGCAGACAAGCCCAAAGAGGGTGTAGCTGCCAATCTGAGCACCGACTTTTTCCGTCAAATCTTGGACAGCGAGATCAACTTGTTGGAAAAGTTGTGTGTCGCGTGGGAATCAGAGATGAGAAAGAAGGAGATGACAGATTTTGCCGAGGAAAATGTCCTGCAAGCCGTCGGAATGGCGAGACTGATTATTCGAGAGAAGTTTGCTCAATTCCGCGGCCTCATTGACAACTGCGATCAACCCGAGGACCCAAAAACAAAAACACTGATTACAGACCTCCAAGGATTCTGGGACATGATAAAAATTCAGTCAGACCAAATCCAGGGTAAATTTGTGGCCCTAGACAAGTTGAAAAGCAATAACTGGCAAGAAGAAGTTGCCGTTGTTGAGAAGAAAACTGCGCCTAAGAAGAAGCAAGCGCCTAACAAGGGATCCAAACCAGCTGTAGCCTCCAGATTCAGGGAGTTTCTGGCTCGCAAGAAAGGTTTGTATTTGTAAACAGGTGTAATTCTTTTTAATTTAACCAGTTAAATTCTAGTTTCCCCAAATTCTGCTGAGGTGATGATGAAAACTCCGGACACTGGAAAAAAGATACCAACACCGAAACCAAGAAGTGTCAAGGCTGGTATGTAATTGAAAAATTATTCTTACTTCAACTGAACCGCATATTTATTTTGCAGTAGCAGAAACTTCCCTGAATGAAAGCAAAAAGTATGTTGAGTCGCCTAATGCCAATGCCATTATCAATGTTTCCATCAGAGCAAAAAGATCTGTTGAGAGGAAAAGTGTAAGTTCTATTTTGGATGTTAGGAAATTTTAAACAATAATTTTATTACAGCTGGACAATTCAGCTAATAAATCCATGCACGAGAGCAGTCTTGTCTTCCCAGCTGCCAGCTCTCCTAATAAAAATCTGGCGTCAGGTGCTTCTAAGCAGGAATCTCGCCAGGAAACTCCATCTCGCAGCATCTTGAAAAAGGCTCAGGTGACCCCTGCACCTAACAATGAGCGCAGATGCGTTCTTTTTGATATGATCCCAGAGGAAGCTGAAGGTAACGATTTTAATTAAAATAATTTTGGCACTCTAATTTTGTATTATTTTTAACTCTTAAGAAGAGGAAGTGGACATGTTGATCCCTCCAGTGAAGCATACCTATGCTCAAAGGACTTATGAGGTATCACCACCCAAAGACAAATTTGACGAGCTTTTTGACAACATTGTCAGCTCGACTCCAGCTGCTAAGTCTGGTGAAACTACGTCTGACGAAGAAAAAGAAAACGTGACCACTAAAACCAAGAAAATGCCAAAGACCAAAGTCACTAGTAATTTAAAAATTTGTTTGCGCAATCAGATTTTTAAACAATTTGTTTCATAGCTCCACTGAGGAGAAGCAGAAGGCTCAGTTCGATAATGAACTCGACTGTGAATGGTGAGATTATCTTTTTGTGGATAAATGTTTTCAATTTACAAAGATCTACTTCCAGATTCAGGAATAGACACCGCGGCCATTGATAAGTCTCAAGAAAGCCTCATTCCCATAACTGAGCTGCCACTGGATGACTCACGAGGTCAGTATTTATTTACTTCTTTTAATGCTGAAATTGTTTTAAAATTCACCTAATCTTAGTGAGCAAACGCCGGTCCAGTCGTAAAAGGGTATCTACTGATGTTGCTTCTGGAGGATCTGATTTGATGTCCTTTGATTCGCCTGCACCCTCAGGTAATGAAAAAAAATTGCATAATATGCCTTGAATTTTATTTTAAAACAAATATTCAGTTCCTGTAGAAAAGAGGAAGAAGAGAAGTACCAAGAGAATGCTGCTTGATGAATCTATGTAACTCAAGGAAGGAGAGATGTATGTAACTTGTTTGCATTTATAATCTTAAGCTCAACAGATCAAAGCCAAATTAATTACATATCCACAAAACTTTACGATATTTTTTACCATTTATCATAATTATGCTCGTACAAAAATGTGCCTTATATTATAATAGGAAATTAAGAGACTTGCTTGTGTGCATATGCACAGATATTTTACCTTTCAAGCAACTGTTGTATGTAAAATTTCCACGCCCTCCGTGCTCTATTTGAAACTAGTTTTGATGGTACAGCCTTCCGATATTGGAGAAATTAAATTAGGATTATTTGGCTGCATTTTGAATCAAATACTTATTAATTAACCATACATTGTTTAATTGATTTTATGAACATCATGTCATGAACTTCTTTAATATACTGCTAATATTCTTAATAAAAATGAATTTCAAATAAAAAAATTCATTTTGATCTTCTCATCCAACCTTAAAACAAGTTCCAAAGCTGTAATTTGTCAGATTCAATAGTTAATTGTCAACTATTATAATAATTATACACAGTTGTGTTTTTATCTGTATGATGCTTGATGCAAATCATGTTTGGATTCAGTAGTCTTCCCAACATGACTCTCAAAGACAATAATCACGTCTGGATGGTATCTTTTATCTTCTGTCATATTTGAAGCAATTGAAAGATTCTCAATGACTAGATTGAAGAAGTTAGCTCTAATTAAGAGATTTTCATGGATTGAAGAAAAAAAAGCTTTGCGCTTGTTGAAAATTATTTATTGAAAAAAAATTGCTAGAGGTTTTAGAGATGGTTTCAATTTTCCCAACACGGACAGAGCCCGTTTTCTTTGCTGCAACTCAATAACTGTTTTAATAGCTTTTTATATCATAATAATTATGTAAACAAACTTCCAATGGATTATTAAATTTTACAAACTGCCATTATAAATTATAAATAGACCAATAAAAATAAATAGCTAATTGGTAGGGAAGGGACACGCAATACTGGACACTATTTCTTTTTCAAAGCCGCAATGCGGGCATCAAGGCCTTCCATGTTTTTCTTCACGATCTCCAAGTTCTGGGAAAATGCTTTCTGGGCTTCTTTCAGCTGCACCTCATTACCACCAAGGCTGGCAGAGATTTGCTCTTGCAAGGTTCCTAACTGAGCTAGTGTCTTGCTGAAGGTCAGAGCTGCAAGAAAGAAATTCAAATTATAATTGGAATGTGGGAAAAATTAATTAAATCACAAACCCTGTTCATGAAGGGAATGGATCGCAGCCAGTCGTTGCGCAATATCAGGAAGGGAGGCCGTCATTTGCTCACATTTCACAATCAAATCATACATCTCCGAAACCTAATACACAAATTTAATTAGTAAACTCTAGGAAAATTCTCTATTAAATTTGCCGGACTTTTTTGTCTTGATGGTTCTCCTCCTTGGAAGCACTACTCTGCTCGGCCAGTTGGTTCATCTTCGTGGACAAAGCTGTCAGCCGTCCTTCAATGTGGTCTAATTGGGCAGAGTCGAGCAAACTTGCTTTTCTGCTCAGGTGCTGCACGGCTGCGGCCAGACACATGGTATTTGTGTCACTTGACAGACGACTCTAAACAAGACACAAAAATTATAATATTAAAAAAAAATACCAACACAAATCAAGTCTCACCAGTTTATTGGGCACATCTCCAACTGATGTCTCCAGAGCGTGCAGCCTTTGCTCCAATTGTGCAACTCGAGCCGTTTGCTGCAACTTCATCTGCTCTGGTTTGAAAAGCAATTCATAGGAGGCGGGAGCCTTGGAGGACAACTTGGTGTCGCCTCCTGGCTTTTTGCCCTCAACTGGTGCAGACTTTGTCAGTTCAATCTGAGCCAGCAGTTTTCTGGAAACAAAATTTTATTTATTTCTTCTGCGCATTGGCCTGTAAATTTAAGTTCTTTACCGGAGCTCTGCTCCCTGAGGATCGGCCAAGCTAGCTACAAGCTCAGATCCAAGCTGCTCTTCCAGACGCAATTCAGTCAACTGCTGCATTAAATTTTGCACTTGAACCGCAGAAGGAACAGCAGATCCATCTTCTTTAGCAGAACCCTGAAAATTATGTTTTGTTTTAGATTGAATTTAAAAATTTGAAGGTCACCTTAAGCTTGTTGATTTCTTCCCCAAGCTCGGTGATTTCGCACTGCAGCCTTTGGAATTTTTGTATCGGAGTTTCATTTTCTCCTCGACCAACTAATTCGAATTCGCAGGACCTTAAAATTGTATTATTTACATAAAATTATTATATATATATACATATAAAAAAACATTGATTTGATACTCACAAAGCATCATATCCAGTTCTAATGTTTCTGCTGAGTCTGTCGGAAAAATCCACTCTGTCGGAAATCAAGATTTTGCCACGGAACTTTCCAAAGGCCGTGTCCACATTCAAGTTGGGCTTGTCGATAAACTCATTGTCCTCCTTAATTTTCATAAAAATAATATAATTTAATGCTTAATTGTTTAAACACAAATTAAAATTTACCTCGGGAGCATCCAGATTTTGATCTGCCTCTGGCAGGTCCTCCGTTTCGTAAACGTCAGGTTGATCGTAGGCCTGCGAATTAAAATTATGAGTAATTTCTGGATTAAATAATTTAATTAGTGTAAAGCTTACAATTCCTGGCAAATCAGCATACTTTGAGTCTGCCATTTTTGCTAAAATGCACTATCAAAAGTGAAGAGAAAAATTAGATTCTTTATATTTGTGACGAGAATTGAGGCGTCAACCTAGGGGACCTAGGGTGAAAGAACTCCAGATGCTTCAGCTGAAAACCGGTTGGGTAATACAGAAGGGAGCTTAAAGTTGAAAGATTACAGGCAGCTAAATTATCTTGAGTATTTTCAAAAAACGATAATATAATATAAAAGTTTAAAATAATTCTATTTTGAAGGACAAAATTTAATATTTTAATTATTAATTTGTTTTTTTTTCTGCTGTTTGGTATTTTTATTAGTACTACTCGGTACTACTCCTTCTTGTATTTGATTTTTAGTTCCACTGGATAAACACAATTCATGTTGCGGCTCTACCTGTCTCATGTTGTGCTTGTGCACTTGTGTCGGTTGAGTAAAAACGCCGACTCTTAACTTTGATTTGAAGCCAATTTAATTAGACTCTGCCTTCAAACTTTCTTCCCTTGCCTACGAGTTGATCGATCTGCTCCAAAACGAAGAGGCGACTGGACTGTTCTACTGCAGGCATGAGTGCGGCAGGCCCAGAATTCGACGCCGAGCTGCAGGCAAATCTGCGCAAAGTCAGGGTTCCTTGCCAGGGACAGAAAATTTACAAGGATGAATGTATATATTCCTTCGATAATCCGGTAAGAGTAAAATATTGCTGGAAAATTGTATTGCATGACTTATGTAATAAAAATTGCGCAGTTATTTACGTTCAATTTGCATTGCAGGAATCAGCAACTGGACTGTACATCTGCTTGAACACTTTCCGTGGAATCGGCGAAGCTCACCTGCAGAGACACTTTGAGAGCACCAACGGAGATGGTGCCGTTTTCTTGCATATCAAGAGAATTAAAAAGAAAATTGTATGATTTTACCCTAGTGTATGTAAATTTAAATTTGTGTATTTTCTCAATTATTTTTTAGGAAAACACTGCTGATTCTGCTCCGGATGGACCAGACAAGAAAATCACTCGATTGGCCATTGGTGTTGAGGGAGGATTTTTTCCAGATTTGAGCAAGAAGAAGTTTGAGTTTGAGGATACACTTAGTATCTTCCTATTCCCCAGCAAGAAGTCCTGCCCTTGGCCAGATACCAATCTTCCAGAATTAGTATGTTTCGTATATTTTTTAAATTGATAAAAAAAAATAGTCTATTTTTTTTTAATTAGCTCAAACAGTCCGTGAATGCAATTCTTGAGGCAGATTCTGCCTCCAAGCTGGAAGAGCTGGAAGCTTTGAGTGGTGCTTGGGATGGAGAGGCTCTTGTTGTATCAAAGTATTGTATACAATTTAAAATTGGACGCAGAAATTCTCAATGTTTTTTAATTAAGATTTGCCGAGAACCTGGAGCAGCTGGACAATGGCATAAAAGTTCCCCCAACTGGGTGGAAATGTGAGAAGTGTGACTTGACACAAAATTTGTGGCTAAACCTAACAGATGGATCTATTTTGTGTGGACGAAAGTACTTTGATGGTTCCGGAGGAAATGATCACGCTGTAGAGCATTACAGAGATAAAGGTCACAAATTTGTTTTGCTCAATAAAAAATCTTAATTTGGTCGAGTCTCATAACAGGCCACCCTTTGGCTGTGAAACTTGGCACTATCACTAAAGAGGGGAAGGCTGACGTCTACAGCTACAAAGAGGATGACATGGTCATTGACCCCTACCTTGCCAAGCACCTTGCCCACTTTGGTATCAACATCGGCAACATGGAAAAGGTGTGAATCATCAACTAATAAAATTTCAATTTATGGAAGTTTTGAATTGTCTTGTGTAGACTGAACGAACCATGGCTGAACTTGAACTGGAAGCAAACCAGAAATATGGCGAGTGGAGTGTCCTTACAGAGTCCGGTTCAAAGCTGCAGCCACTAGGTGGACCTGGACTTGTTGGTCTCAGCAACTTGGGCAACTCCTGCTACATGAATTGCGTCATGCAAGTCTTATTCACCATCCCAGACTTCAGATCCAAGTTTGTGCATTGTAACGTTTTGAATGAGCAAACACAAATTCACACATTTTTAGGTTTTTGGAACAAAGACAGGCTATCTTTGATGACCTTGTGAGAAATTCGGCCAATCCAGTGGAGGATTTCAACTGCCAGATGTATATTTCAGCCTTAAATTGAAGTCGTAGTTATAAACTTGTCATTTTCAGGGCTAAGTTGGCTGAAGGACTACTTACGGACAAATATGCCGTCCAGCCAGTGGCAGACGAGACCACAAGTGACATCACGTTTGAAGGGATCAAGCCTCAAATGTTCAAAACTTTGATGGGGAAAGGCCACCCAGACTTTGCCTCAAAGCGGCAGCAGGATGCACAGGAGTACTTCCTTCACATAGTCAACCTTCTTGAGGTACGTGCTAATTTATTTTAAGCTAGAACTTAAATTGATTTTTAAAAATTACCTTCAGAGGTCCAGTCACAATCACGTGAACCCAGCAGACTGCTTCAAATTCAAAGTTGAGGACCGCTTTGAGTGCAGTCAGTCCCACAAGGTCAAGTACACATACAGGACGGAATACTGCTTGCCACTACCAATTCCTGAAAGCGCAGCCACGAACAAAGACGACGTGGCTGCATACGAGGCCAAAAAGAAGCAGGCAGAGGAAGCTGGACAGAGATAGTGCGTTTATCCATGGCACTTACATTATCTCTGATTTTTTTGTCTTTCTTTTAGTGAGGGAGAGGTCATTCGTCCACACATCAAATTTGATTCTTGTCTAGAGTCGTTCTCACAATCTGAAACCATTGAGCAGTTCTACAGCACTGCCATCAACGACAAAACAACTGCAATTAAGTGAGACTATTTTTTTTAAAACAATAAGATTTTTTTTCTAAAAATCATTTATCTCCAAGTTTGATGGGTTAATGCTTATAATTTAATATTAGATCTACACGACTGTCTACCTTTCCTGACTACCTTTTGCTGCACTTGAAAAAGTTCACCCTTAATGAAGACTGGACCCCTCGCAAGCTGGATGTTGCTGTTGAGATGCCCGATGTGCTGGACCTTGCTAGAGTCAGAGGAAAAGGTCTCCAGCCCAATGAAGAGACCTTGCAAGATATCGAAGGTGCCCCTCCTGCAATCAACCTAGATGAGGGAGTCATCAGCCAGCTCATGGAAATGGGCTTCCCTCTGGAGGCTTGCAAGAAAGCAGTCTTCTTCACAGACAATCAAGGTCTTGAACCTGCCACCGAGTGGCTAATGCAGCATGTTGGAGACAGCGATTTCTCCGATCCATTTGTCCCACCTGGCACTCAGGCTACAGGTACATCCATAATTATAACTAACTTTGCCCATAAAATTTTTTTCTTCAATTATTTATTTCCCATAAAATCATGTTAATTTGTTTCTAGGTGGCAACAGTGACTTTGTTCCCGACGAGGAGGCTGTGGCCATGATATTGAGTCTGGGCTTCAGCAGGGCCCAAGCCGTGAAGGCCCTCAAGGAAACCAACAACAGCATAGAAAGAGCGGCAGACTGGGTCTTCAGCCACCAGCAGGAGCTGATGGAACTGGACACAGCACCTAATGAAGCCCAAGCACCACTGGCCGCTCCAGAGTTTAGAGATGGATCCGAAAAATACCAACTTGTGGCGTTCATCTCACACATGGGCACATCCACTATGGTGGGACATTATGTGTGCCACATTCTGCAAAACGGTCGTTGGGTTTTGTTTAATGATGAGAAAGTGGCTCTCTCCGAACACCCACCCAAGGAACTTGGCTATCTCTATCTTTACAAGCGAATTAATTAGTTGCTTCACTGCACGCAATTGTACTCATTTTTCAATAAACTAATGCTATTTCAAAACTGGATTTTGTATTACCTTAAATGATCCGTACCCAAATTGTATTTTTTTCTTAATTTTATTTTTAACCAGTACAAAGAAAAGATTAGAATCGGAGCTTTTGGAAGAACCACTTATTTTTGCCCGCCTTGTATCTGGAAAAAGATTTGTTTGCTTAGAAATTTTTAATGGTAAAATTATCTTTTGAAAAATTACCTTTCTTCGAATTTTTGCTTGGCCTGGAATTTCGCCTTCTTCCTCTTCATGGGGTCCTTCAAGTCCTTTGGCGTCACCTTGTCCAAAGTAACATCTCCTACTGTGTATCTGGTAGGCATGAGATGGTTGTGGTTGTATACCTAATGATTGCACTTGTTAATAAAAAGAAATTTCAAATTATATAAAACTCACCCTGACAAAAGCCTTGACCTTCGATCTTTTGTGCAGCTTGGCTTTTGACATGTTCTTGGTCACTTTTCTGGGGTACCTTTCGATACCCGCAATCAGGGCGCAACCGTAGGGCTTGTCTGCGATGCCGTCGTCAAAGTTCTTCATCACGATGGCTTTTTTACCAGCGTACCGCCCTGTCAGGACGAGCACGACTTTGCCAGACTTCATAATTTTCCCCATGATTGGAACCTATTGAAACATAAACAATGAATACTTTTTCAAAGAAAATAAAGGCCACACAAATTTACTATTAACACTGAAATTATTAATCGAAATTTTACTATTATTTTTAGGGATTTTCGAGCACAGGTAATATTTTGAAAGAAAAACTGGCGCTGGATTGAGTTTCAGACAAGTGTCAACATGTAAGACACGTTGGACCGCTCAAAAATATAAGAGGAAAACAAATGTTCCTACAGGTGAAGTATTAAATCGAACATCATTTAAATGAAGATGCATCAATAAGGAATTAAAATTACAGTAATAGATTGCAATTATATCATAAATTTAGAGGATGATGCTGGATAATTTTCTTTACCTCAAAATCGGCACCGGAGAAAATACACAAAGAGCTATGGAGACCAAAAACGCTTATAAATTTCCCCGCAGGATGGCGCTGAACACTAAATTATCGTGAGAAGTAGGACGAGATGAGTAAATCCGCCATGTTTTTTGGCGCCCATGACCATTATTATCCAGGCTTATATGGTATAATTTAAAATTAGGCGCTTAATATTGAAATTAAAAATGGCCACTGTTTGAATCTCATTTATTACATTGATCGGCCTACTTCCTGTAATAACACGGTCCAACAAGAACAAGGCATAACACACAGCTTTCCGGCGGTAGCTTGCGAGGAGTCACGTGGTAAGTGTAGGCTCCGCCCAGCATACTGGTGTCGGCAGCGCGATAATATGATTTCCCTTCTATAATAAAACGCAGCATCAACTAATATGCTATTATTTTTGCTTCGTGTGGACAACTTTTGGGCAGTAAAGTCTAGACAACTAGACTATTAGTTAAAATTTTATCATTTTACCTATTACTATTTCCTGAACCGATTTTAATTCATAATATATATTTTTTTTTTAATAAATTTAGGGTTTCACAAACTTATTACAAAATTTCGTTTCCACAATTTTGCTACATTAAAAGCTATTTTTCTCCTGTTGTTTAAACAAATATTAAGCGATTTTCAATTTTTATGAAGTGCTTCTAAACAATAATTAATTATTTTCTTCGCTCTTTTTATAATTTTTTTTACTGTAACACTTTACCTAAAAATTTAAGCCTTTATTTCTGAATTTTTGCACGATAAAAATTGTTTTTCTTATTTTTCCCCGTTTTTTTATTTTATTATTTTTTAGAGAAATAATAATTTATTACCAGAATTAAGAGTTGCCAAATACGTTGCAAAATTGTGTCTCCTATTATAATTTATAATTTTACTGAAGTCAAACAAAACATTTTCTAATTTCTATTGTTGGCACGGGTATGCGAAAATTTAAGATTTTGATTTTGAACGATCTTTTAGCGAATTTGATTTTTTTTTTGTGAATATCCAACTGAATAAGCAGAGAGTCCGAAATAGTTTAACGTTAAGAATATTATTATTTAATGCTATTATTACATTTTTAAAAGTTCCCCCTTTACCTAGATTATGACGAATCGCCCAACAATTTTGCAGTAATCATTTTGTGTTCTCCCATAATGATTATTTTTTATTCTTCTCGAGAAATAAGAAAAAAATTATAAGAATTTTAGAATTTATATTAAGCAAAGAAAAAAAATCACCTCAAAATTTGAAATTCTAATTTCTAATTTTGCGACCCTTACAAAAAAGATTTTTCACACTACTTCCCGGTGATAAATGTAATGCAAGAATAATTTCTAAAGTAAAAGGTAAAAAAATTATCAATTTTTCAATACACCTTCATTAGAGTTAATTAACCTCGCAGGATTGGATAATCGTACCAGGCCATGAGTAGATTTAATTTTGTGTACCTAACGTTCCTTGATTTTTTTTTCAGAAACGTCATCTTTAAAAACTACTATATTTTTGGCTTTAAAAAGTCTATATTGTCATAAAAATTGGATTAGATTAAGTCATCTTTTATGTGTAAATTTTTCCCCAGCTTTTTTTGTGCAATTTTCATTGAGCAGGGTTACATCTTTTTAATTTATAAACAAGACTGTACTTCATGGCGATTTTAATTTAAAGTCGGCCATTCCTCGATCAGTTTTTAGAATATTTTTAATTTTTTAAGAATCATTAAGAATAAACAATATCCTGCTCTACGTGGTTCGGCTGCGATCGCTGCAGCCATAATTCATGAGCTGTGAAACCATTTTGACAAATCTATAATATTCTTACCAAAATTATTATAAAAATTAATTTTTTTTTTAAAAAAATTACTATTTAACAAAAATAAATTTTTTTTACAAATTCAATTTCAAATTTTGTTTTAAATATTGTTTTGTGAAAAAAGTGTAATTTGAAATAATTTTTTCATGGAAAATTGTTACTTTGATTGAAAAAAATGGTATTTTTGAAAAAAAGATTGATTACTGTACTAATTCTTGTCAAAATGATTTCACAGCTCATGAACATGAATATTATGGCTGCAGCCCGCAGCCGAAACATATGGAGCAGGATATTGTTTTTTTCTTAAACAATATAAAAGCTCACAAAAACCCACTGAGGTAAAGCCGAATTAAAATTCAAATCACCATGAATTTTAATTTCGATCGTGAACTTCTACTTCTTTAATTTTTATAATTTTATAAATTTAAAAATAAATCTGAATAGCGTTTTTTAATTTAAATTAATTTTGTTATTATTTATTAGCTCCATTATTAATATTAATCTTCATAAGTTATTAAAGATTATTAATAATACGGAGATAATGAATAAATAAATAAAAATTAAAAATAAAACAGTATAATTATTAATAATAAGGCATGAAGCAATAAGCAGCTAAATTCAAGCGGTGAAGAAGCCGTCTGCGTTGCGAGTTGCGAGCCGACCACGTGACTCACGTGACTGCTAGCCGCCAATCAGAAAGCTTAACCCGGCGTCGTGCTAAGCCAGGACTTTATCGCTCTCGCCGCTAGGTGTGCCACCTTGTTCTTGTTGACACGGTCAACTCGCCGCTGTTTAGACAACATGTTGACTCAAATTGTGTGAATTTTTGCATTTCTTCCTTCTAATTGAAATGACCGACGGAAAGATACGCGATGCAAGTTCCGCTTGACTGCTGCGATTTCTCAGCGACGTCGGCAAGCATGCTGGAGGCGCTGGTCAGGTTCCTCAGCGAGGACGTCGACTTCAAAGCCGTCGTGTGTCTGGTCCTGGCCGGCGTCAGTCTCGTAATATCCACCGGCTTTCGACTTTACACCAAAATAAGGTTAGATAACGAATCACCATTTTCCTCTGCAATTGTTAAAATTGGTCGATTTTATTTCAGACCGAGATTTCCTATTAAGGTCAACTGCTGGTTCTGCAACTTGGACAGCAAAACGCACTTCAACAACCGAAACTCGTGGACGTGCCCAAAGTGTGATCAATACAACGGGTTTACACAGGTACATTAATCATCGTTTTAAATTGGACCCATCTAAGAAATTTATTTTAATAGTCTGGAGATTACAACAAGCCAATGCCAGAGCAGAGCTTTGAGCATTTAAATCGGACTGTCCAGTCTGTCAAATGGGAGACGTACAACCCAAGTCACAATGGATTATGTAGAAAGTGCAACATAAACCAAGAGCTGAAGGTGCAGCAGCTTGCATCGTTTGTCCCCATCATCAAAGCTAACTTTGACGAAGAAATTGAACTCTACAGGTTCTTTTGATACCTTTCAATATTCCCTTTTGTGCAACAATTTTTGTTTTCAGGCAAAGGCTAGAAAGAGCTTATCGTCTGTGTCCAGAATGTGATGTAAAACTGAACTATAAGTTGAATTCAGTCAAGCAGTGGATTAAAAGTTTATATCCTGCAAAGCCTGCTGAGATTGCTGAACAAGTCGTCTGGAAAACGGTTGGAATCTTACCTTATCAGACTTAAACCGTATTTATTGTATTTTTTTATTTATATTTGTAGAATTTCCTTCCGAAGGCGTGTGTTTGCTTGCGCCTTTTATCAACGGTGGCTGCAATTGCACTCCTTGTTAGCTCATTTGGTCTTGCTGTCGCTGAAGTGGACAAAAACATAAAATGGGCCGTGCCATCTTTAGTGAAATCTGGCATGACGTTGACCCTGCCTCAGAATGTTCTCAATTTTGCACTAATTTTGTTGACTGCGGTTCTCTCTGAAACTAATTGGCTTCCTACGAATGAACTCATGTCAGCAATGCTGTGGTTCTTGTCTGCCCTGATCAACTTGGCTTTAAGCAGGAACTTCCTAAAAGAGTTTGAAAGCTACACTACTATTTCTTATGTGAGTAATTATTAAATTTATATATTTTGAGAAACTAAATTATGGTGGATTTGGATTATATAGATATTTTTCTCTGCTACTGCAAGTTTGGTGACAATTCTTTCTCATGTACTGCATTTGACGAGGCATTGGAAAGTTAGCCCTGCCAAAGTGAAAACGGACCCAGAACCTGTAATGCGTCATGAATGTAAAAATGAACCTGTGAAAAATGCTGAGTAAGTAAGAAACACAATTTATTGTGTCATTTGTGTCAAATAAATTATTTATTTTATGCCCATTTTACAATTCTCTCTAAATATTGTTCTTATTTTAAGGAGTGTCTCTGGAGCTGATTTGAAATTGAGCTCAATGGAGAAAAAAGGAAAAGATATACCCGAGTCTCCAGTGAAACCCGTGCAATCAAGCTTGAACCAGTTGTCGTTGGGTCCTTCTCCTCCAAAGTCGCCATCGCCTTCCATCTTTGAACCCAGAGTCTACCAATGCAACCCAACAACAAGTCTCTTCAATCCAATGGAGGGTAGTGAAATCCGCAGACGCAAGCCTATTGTGCACCCACCTAAGTTCAACCCTTGGAACAACAGTTACTGGGGTTCCGTACCAATTCCCCTTTCCCGCTCCTCCAGTCAAAGTTCGGGCTTTGCCTCTCAGAATGGCACCAATTACTCGAGCCTGCCCAACTCTCGCAATGGCTCCGTGTGTGGCGACGCTGACCGCTTTTCCGTCCTCTCCGAACCCATCTACCCGAGCGCCTCCTTCAAGCCCTTCAACCCTCAACCGTACTATGTGCCTTGTGTGCCCCAGTTCTATTTGCCAACAACTCCGCCACAACCCGTCCACTCTCCAGCGTCCCTCAACAGCACGCTCAGCAGCTCGATGGACTCTTCAACAAACGAGACTGTAGCGTCTGCAGTGGCTGCCGACAAGTCCATTTTCTCTTTGATGAGGGAGAACTTTGGCCTGGCAAGTGTGTTCCTCTGCAGTATTGTGTTCAACGCCGTGGTCATTGCTTTGGCCGTGGCAAACGCGCTCAGCACACCAGCGCATTGACTTTATGGTAATCTTACAAGAGGCGCGACCTATACACCAGTATTTAAAAATTAGGTTGGTATGTCGCGCCTGCTGTAGTGGTTTTATGTCGCGCCTACTGAAGTGGTTTTATGTCGCGCCTACTGTAGTGGTTTTATGTCGCGCCTGCTGTAGTGGTTGATAAAGAAAACCGGTAATTATAGCTCACAATCACCGGGACTGCAGGAAAGAATAAGGGCCTTTGGGATGGGTTCAGAAGGGGAAGACAATCTTAACTGATTGCAAAAGACGTGACCTACCACCAATGTACGGGGAAGGGGGTTGTTTTTATATGTCGCGCCTCTTGTAATGGTTCACTACAACAGGCGCGACATATGCAAGTATTCTCATGGTAGGTCGCGCCTCTTGTAATCGACCACTACAACAGGCGCGACATATACAATTAATAATGCTAAAAAAAACGAAAGCAGCGAGATTGTGTGCACACCACGAACCAGACCACCCCACAAACCGGCAACTCGGAGGTGGGCAACCCCCCAAGATTAATTTTTGCAGAAGCCGCGAGCGAGGGGTGGAGGCGCAGCGAGGTCGAGGACGTGGGGAAGGCCGTGCGGAGGGCGAGGACAAAAGGGCGGCTGTGTTCGTGGGGGGGCTCCGCTGGAGCCCCCCCACGATCCCCGCCCTTTTGTCCCGCCTGGAGCCGGCCTTCACCACGTTCTCGGGCGAGCGCGCCTCCAGCCCGAAGCTCGCAAACCCACAACGGAGTTGCCCACAAAGGGAGTTGTTTGCAAAGGGTGTTATTTTGAAAGCAAACGGTGTGGGTGCCCACAACTCCCTTTGTGGGCAACTCCGTTGTGGGTTTGCGAGCTTCGGGCTGGAGGCGCGCTCGCCCGAGAACGTGGTGAAGGCCGGCTCCAGGCGGGACAAAAGGGCGGGGATCGTGGGGGGGCTCCAGCGGAGCCCCCCCACGAACACAGCCGCCCTTTTGTCCTCGCCCTCCGCACGGCCTTCCCCACGTCCTCGACCTCGCTGCGCCTCCACCCCTCGCTCGCGGTTTCTGCAAAAATTAATCTTGGGGGGTTGCCCACCTCCGAGTTGCCGGTTTGTGGGGTGGTCTGGTTCGTGGTGTGCACACAATCTCGCTGCTTTCGTTTTTTTTTAGCATTATTAATTGTATATGTCGCGCCTGTTGTAGTGGTCGATTACAAGAGGCGCGACCTACCATGAGAATACTTGCATATGTCGCGCCTGTTGTAGTGAACCATTACAAGAGGCGCGACATATAAAAACAACCCCCTTCCCCGTACATTGGTGGTAGGTCACGTCTTTTGCAATCAGTTAAGATTGTCTTCCCCTTCTGAACCCATCCCAAAGGCCCTTATTCTTTCCTGCAGTCCCGGTGATTGTGAGCTATAATTACCGGTTTTCTTTATCAACCACTACAGCAGGCGCGACATAAAACCACTACAGCAGGCGCGACATAAAACGGGATACCAACCTAATTCTGAGAGAGTGGTGTATAGGTCGCGCCTCTTGTAAGATTACCGACTTTATTTGACTGACTAAATTGTCTCTAACAAGACGAAATTGTGAAATTATACCAGATTAATGCTGGGTTAATTGATTGTTTTTGTTTGCTGTGAATACGCCGATTTGAACATATGGATAGCAAAGAAGATTTTCTTACAAATAAAGCAGAAAGTGTAAAGGCGGATGATAAAAAAGGAATTAATTTATGAATTATTGCCATTCCTTTTAATGAAATTTAAATATTATGCATAGTGTCCTGGAACTGGCATGTTTCGATGAATGCGTAATAACGGATGTAGAAATTTGATAACTACAAAGAACTTGCTAATATTGAGCAATGTCACTCTGATAAAGAATTACGCCCATTCAATAATTGATAATTTAAATACGCCTTACTATTTATTTAAAACTAAACGAAAAAGCAAATATAAAAGTCTAAAGTGACAATTTCGTTGTTAATTAATTTAACCAATATAATACTTCGTTTATTTTCAACTTCAAATTTGCAAAAAATCTCTTGAAAGTAAAAAATTTAATGCAGTAAAATCATGGGCGTAAATCACATCTAACGTAAATTTTGTTTAGTTGGTAGCTCTGCAGGCTAAATTTTTTGGAGAACGATTAAAAATGGAGACGTACGAAAGTGTTTTGCTCGTGAAATCCGAGGTTTTTGTTTTCAAGATTCCTCCCAGAGCCACGAACAGAGGCTACAGGTAATTTATATTGATAGTTTTTGGCAAAATAATTCAAAAAAACACTATCAAAGAACTGGAACTCGATAGTAAAATCGATTTATGGCTCCATTAAAGCTTTTGTTGATGCACCAATTTTTGACAGGCGCTGTTTGTGTCTTTATAGCAGTGGCATGTTAGACTAGATTAATAAAATGGTGCTTATTTTTTAAAAGTCACCAGGTTTTTGCTACAAATATATTTAATTCGTTTATAATGTAGGGCCGCCGATTGGAATCTGGCCGAACCCGAATGGACAGGTCGCATGAAACTGGTGAGCAAAGGCAACGACTGCACCATCAAACTGGAAGACAAAAATACTGGAGAGTTGTTTGCCAAATGCCCTATTGAGCAGTACCCTGGCATGGCCATCGAGGCCGTCGCCGACTCTTCTAGATATTTTGTTCTGAGAATCCAGGACGATAATGGTAATAATAAGACATAAAAACGCTCGTCACACGTTTTCAATAAATTCAATTTTCATTGAAGGCCGCTCTGCATTCATTGGCATTGGCTTCACCGACCGATCAGACAGCTTTGACCTTAATGTGGCGCTTCAGGATCACTTCAAGCGACTCCAAAGCGACCAGCAAATCGAGAAGGAAAAGGACACACCAAAGCAGCAGCTTGACCTGAGTTTCAAGGAGGGGGAGACTATCAAGATCAACATGAAAATTACGGTTCGGAGTAATTTGTAGCTTGGAATTAATAAAGATTGCAACTTTTTTCCCATTTTAGAAAAAAGATGGCAGCGAAGCGACTGGTCGTCCGAAGCCCAAAGCAGGTGGTGCAGGCGGATTGGGAATTTTGCCACCTCCACCTGGAGGAGTCAAGGTGCCGCCCCCACCCAAACTGACCCCAACCTCCTCACCGAGCCACCAGAAGGCTCCTAGCAGCTCGGACTCGGCAGCTCAAGGAGAGAATTGGGGTGAATTCGCCAGTGCTAATGAGCAAAGGTTGATTGTTTTTTATTGTTTTCATAATGTGATTGTTATTAAAAATACTTTGTTAAAATTTCAGTGGAAATGCGGCCTCGCCAAGCTCCAATCAGTCAAGTTGGGTGCAGTTCTGAACGATCGATTAAGCAAGACTGAGGACAGCGCTAGTGTTGGCCCCTGATTCCTCGGAATTGAGCAAAAATGTCTCCATACTATGTAAACTCAAACGATCACCTGAATCACTCAGCATTTCGAGAAGCTTAGCTTGTTGAAAGTCTAGCCTCTCTCAAGACTAGGAAGGATGACGTTCTGTTTGTCTCGGAAGTTTTTCTTATCAGCGTTTTTTTTTCAAAATGTATTTTTTTTGCATAGCGAAAGCTGTGTGGCTCTGCCGTTCCTTTGTTGCTAACACTTTACACTTAAATTGATTTAATTAAGTCTCAATCGCTAGCAGAATAATTATATATATTTTGGTTCTGAATGTGTGTTATCAAGTGGATTATTTTTTTAAATATATTTTTTGAATGTTCTCGATTTATTTGTGACATTCCTTTGTATAGATCGATTGTAACAAGGAAACGAGAAACTCCAAAGATTTAAATAAATGATTATGAAGTGAAGAGAACTCTGTTCTGTACTAAATTGTTGTAATAGTAAGTAAAAAATCTCGTTATATTGCAATTAGAATGAATAAAATGATGAATTATATATATGATCAAATAAAACTGGCAATTACAAAATTGCTGCATAGAAAGAAAAAGATTCAAAAACTAGTTTAAATTTTACCCATCGAATTCCACAGTATCATACAAAAACAATGTAGTAAGGAGAAATGAGCTTTCCCAAGCGTCACAATTATCAAACTCATTTTATAGCTCTGCTGGTTTTATCAATAATGGAGTTCATCTGATAGCGACTTTTAAATTTCCACCGTGATAGGACATGGATATACAACTTGCTCAACACGAGCGTATAACAGGTTGCATAACGTCATTTTCCACAGGTAAGAGATCGTCATCTTGATTGATTGCTGGGCTTTCTGTTTCTGATCGGGAAATTTGGACAGCAGAGCCGAAATGCTAGAATTCAACAATGCTGTTAATAAACCTAGCTTGGAAATGCCGAGCTTCCGCTATAAAACCCAATTCCATTTTTGTATCGTTCGCGCAGCTAGTCTGCTCTTTCATTTTATATTATTGAATCATAAACCTTTAAGCGGATTGAGAATGTGCTCTCAAAGAAATTCTTTATGATGAAGCAAGGCGCGCTTTACTTTTGTTTGATTTTGAAAATTGCCACAATTCTAATTTCGGTATAGATAAAATTTGAGTGCAAGTATTATTTAATTTTTTATCTCCTACACAGATCCACGGTCAACGGCAATACAGAGTAAATATCCCCTCAAACCAGCTTATTGGGGGAGGTGATGATTTTTTTTTAAATTTATATAACACTCTAAATTTAACCGTGCAGATAGTGTTAGAGCCATTTTCACGGTTCAACGAAGAATTCGTGCTCAAATTGTTACTTGTTGTGGCCACAGGAAATGCACGATACAAAGGACCAAAGGAGTTACAAATTCGTCGATCACAATTAAAACCATCTCAACACCACCACCAAATGACGAATATACGGTACAAAAATTTGCTAGTAAATAAATCTTGATTATTTTTTTTTTAAATGTTTGGTATGGAAAATTAAATTTAATCAAAATTCAAAATCAGATTACAGATTCTGAAAGTGATGTTTCAATATCAGCAGTTTCTACTGAAGAAGCAACGCAAGAAAGTGAATTAAAATATATAAAATAATGGTAAAAATTAATATAATATAAATTTTTTAGCAATTTCAGAATATAGTAGCAGCACAGGATCTAATGAAGTTTCCTCGGACGCGCAGCAAGAAAACACGTCCACCGACTCCACCGAAGAAACTTCAACAACCTCTTTGCCAGCAGAAGAAACAAAGCCACTAGTTGTTACTTCATCAGTTCAGACTGAAATAATTACAACGGCTGCCATCACTGAAAAAGTAGAGACAACTTCAACGAACCAAGGAACTTCACTGGGCCCGGACATGGGTGTTCAGACATCTGCCGTTACTACCGACACTACTCAATCACAAAGTAACGCTCCTGGTGCTCCTCTAGATAATTCACCTTCACCGCTGACCAGCACTTCCGTAAGTTAGAAAAAAGAATATTTTATTGGCAAAAATGAAGACCATCAAAATAACAGATAACGACATCTACAAGCCCCATTAATACTGGAAGTGCATCTGCAAGCACCACTAGTACTCTTACTCCTAGCACCACCAAAAAACCTGCAGGTTTACATCTAAAAATAAAGTCATTAAGTAATTTTCTCATTTACAGACCACGACAACAATCCCGTGTAAAAAACCATCCTGCGATGTAAGAAAATGGATTTAATTAAAAATTTATAAATGTGCTTTTTGAAATTATAAATTAGCCTTCCGTTTTCGCAAGAAGAAGAAGACGAAAACGAGCAGTTGTTCCACGTAAAAAATTAATTCAAATTGAAATTTGCCTGAAAGTGCATCTTTATTATTATTTCAGCAAAACCGTCTGATGGCACCTTTTCTAGAGCTTGCAACAAAACATTTTTCTTCGGGTCCAATCCAGTTACAATAATTAGTACTTAATTCCTCACGCAAGGAATAAATTAAAGAAAATTAGGTGTCGTGGAGTGACTCTTACGCAGAGTGCCAGAAGTTTGGAATGGTTTCGATGGGGATAGGCAGCCCGGACAAACAAAAATGCGCCACAGAAGCTGCGAGTTGTAATATAATACGAGATTATTAAATATTTTGAAAATAATATAAATTTCGCAGCCGACAGCAAAACTGCAAACCAAACATATTGGACGAGTGGGCACAAGAAGAATGCGACTTGCCCCAAAACATATGCCATGTGCGACGTGGACAAGATCATTGGCCCGGACGTATCAGACATTCTTTCGTGGGTGTCACTCCTTGGCGAGGATCCTGACAAGGATTTTTGTCTGTCAATGGCAATTATGGCTGGCGCCCCAAGCGGATTGTCGAATGCTTTTTGCAACAAAAAGCTGAACATCATGTGTGAAGTAATTTTATCTCGCCTTTAAAATTTATTTTCGCACCCTTGATTCTAAAAATCATTACTTTTTCTCTTGCCAGCCAAAGTGCACAAAGCCAACATGTCCGAAAACTTGTCAAAAGAACGTGAGTTGTTGTCAAAAGTCTTTTTTCCAGATAAATAAAGCCCTTTTTAATATTTGAAAAGGCATCACTTTTTGACGCAAAAGGGCAGCTTATAAGTTTGTTTTTTTTACCTAAACTTTGAATACTTTTAAATTCTTTCTACATTAAAAAAAAAAAAAAAAAAAAATAGATTCGTCTCATTATGGATTATTGTTAACCAGTTCTTACAAGAATACTACATACCTATTTTCTTCCTCAACCGTAGGAAAAAGTTACAATAAAAATTGATTTTAAAATATATATTTTTAATTAAAAAAGGCAACATGGCAGGAAGCATGGGATTTTTGTTGCAAGATTGGTATGAAATTGGCCTCAATAGAGAGTGTGGCGGAAAATAATGCGCTTGGTGCTTTGGTGAAAGGTTTTGCATTCGTAGTAAAAAAACAAGCTTAAAAATAATATATATTTTGAACGCAGGAAGAAGCAACATGAAGTATCATTGGATATCTTTGACGCAGGTCGATTGCGTTGGAACGTGGTACTTTTGCTCAACAAACACCTTTGTAGAGAAGGGAATGGTAGTCTGGGGTACCAGTCAGCCGGACAATTATAAAGGGGTCGAAAATCATGTTGTTGTTGTATTAAACACTACCTTAGGCTCAGCAAAGTTAAATGACCAAAATCTTAACAATAAGTATCCATTCCTTTGCAAATAATGATTCAACGTCATAAGATGCAATTAAATTTTTTCGTGCAAAAATGTGCAAGTCTCGCGATGTAAAATTTCCAAATTTGATCAATTTTCAAAACAAAATTAAAAGGAACGAATTGGAATAAAGATCAAAATTCTTGTAAAAAATAAACAATAAGGAGAAATAAACAACACAACAATAATATAATAAAATGCTTGTCAGATTTCACAAATTTCATCTTAATCATAACTTAATGTTATTTATCTTCTAAATTCATTACTAGGCCACTTCAAAAATACTTTAATTCACGAGCATGAAAGTATTTTCATTTGATTTTTTTCTCAAGTGAAAAATTTTAAGGAACTAAATAAGTATATAATTAATAAATATTTATTATATAAGCGTTTTCTGAAATAAAAGTATGCCGGTTTTTAAAACAATCAATTTAAGATTAAATGCCTACGACTTTGGCTTCATTCCAAATTTGGAGCAGAATTTTACAGGAGTCTTAATGTTAGTTCATGGTCTTGATTTTTGTCGAGTTAACATAGAATGAAAAATGCAACGAGCTTAAACAAACCAGGCTGCGTTATGCATTTCAGTACTTTGCATTATACACCGTTAATATTAATAAATTATTTTGATCGATCGGTGGACTTTCCGTTGAGGAAGGGCCATGTGCAAGGGATAATATTAAATTAAAAATCAAACCGACGTATAATAATGATGCAAACTAAAAATGAGTTCGGAAAAGCCCCGCTTTAGTAACATCGTAAAAATGAAATTAAATAATTGAAACCTCAGTGCCAATATTATGTTCATTCATACAATTTATCATAAAGCACTAGAGCACTACGCGTTTCACTTGTGAAAATGAAGACGTTTTTTGTAGCATTGGCATGAAATCGGCCGCTTAATTTTTCGAGGCTAATGCAAACTTGACCAAGTAAGGGTTCCCCTTTCCCGTAAATGTTTACGATTACTAAAAAAAATGGCGCACAACAGAGCAGAATCATTTCCTGGTTGTTCTCCTCTGACGCAGGTGGATTGCGTGAGAACGTGGTACATTTGCACGACAAACTTGTGTTTTTGGAAAAATAAATATGATATTATGCCTCAGACACCAGCCCTAATAAAATCAGGGCACTGTTCAGTTCAACAATTAGAGTTGTGACACAAACTTGCCATAGCGGCCATAGCTTAATTTGTGCATAATTATTAATTATCCAAAGCAGAGTTATCATGACATTTGCAAGTTCATGATCAATAATTTTATAAACGGCAAATAGATAACTATGTGAATGCAAAAAAGATACTGAACAAAACCTTCTGTCTCTTTGGTTTTTCTACCTACAATAATCGCAAAAGAGATCAACGATTATAATGCTTTAAATTTGTTAGTGATTGTGATCTGCATATAATGCTAGGTTAGGCCGAATAAATTGCATGCATCAATACTTGTTAGCCGAAGATTTTTCACCACTAGCACCAGAATTTATGAAGGGTCATTCATTAAACAGTTTTCTTTTGCAGCAGAGCATTTGTTCCACTTTATTGCTTGACAGCGACATGCATGCTTCTTACACAAATCCGACTGTTTTCACATATTCAACTTAAATTTAAAACACGGACTGACTTATTCCGTAGGAAAATCAATAAATTAAAAAAGGTAAAGACCTACAAATGAATCCACAGCCAGTAAAAAAAGCGATAAACAACCAACGAATTACACTTTTAAAAATTCACCGCCGACGCAACGGCATTTCAAACTTTCTACTTTACCAAGGTGGGTTGTCTCTTAGTTGCGGCGCGCTCGCAGTTGTGACTTGGAGGAAATGCCCATTTTGATGCTGCGCATCGCCATTGCTCTGTTGAAGTGCCTGCTCTGGCCTTTGACCTCCCCGATCTCCTCCAACTGGCCATCCATCGAGGACAAGATGATCAACAAAACGCCCAGCACCTGGAAAAAGCCACTTGTGTAAAAAACCTGCACAATTATAGGAGAAAATTAAACTCACTAAGCAAACAATGATCAGCACTGTGTACACATGGATGGCGTGTGCTGGGACGTTCTCTATGTCTCTTAAAGCGGCCAGGGCAGGCTCAAATTCGGGCTTGAGCTCAAGTGCGTTCCGCAGATGGACAGCTGCCTCTTGGTAGTGTCCGTATGCCTAAAAAGTATAAATGAAGATGACATTAATCAAATTTCAAATTCTCGAATTTTTAATTATTATTTTGTAAGACATAAAAATTGTAACGATTTTTAAAGAAAAAATCTGGAAAGTTTTTCAGTTAAAGGTAGTTGAATAAATTATTCGAAGTATACCTTGAGAATTTCGCCCAAGGTGAAATATTGCTGCCACGGGCTTTTGTCGGGCGGTTGCACCTCCAAGGACCGCCGGGTTAGAGATATGGCATCATCCAGGTACTGCAGGTTAAAGAGAACTCTGGCCAAGTTCAGCAACACCTTTAACAATTCAATCAAAATAAATTTCTGAAATTGATTTTCAGGCCGTGTTTTACATACCTCAGCATTGTTCGGCGACACCGCCAGTGCTCTTCTGAAGCACTCGATGGACTTTTGTGTGTCGCCCTTGACTCTCCAAAAGTTGCCAATTTGATTGTACAACTGGACTGACTTTGGTTTCTGCAAATCAGATAAAATTAAAATTTATAAAAATGAATTACGTTCCAAATTTACCTCTCTCTTGGCCTTCAGGAGTCTCTTTTCGACTGCGGCTATGTCGAAGTCGTTCCGCTTTGTCCCTTTGCCACTCTTTTGGTAAAATATTAATGAGGTCTGCGGCTCAGGTACATTGGGATGAGTGTGCCTGTTGGCAATTCCCACCAAGTGGTCGTAGTATGTATAGTTGACGGGTTTCCCACAGTCCAGTTGCTCATCACTGTCAGACTGTTTTTTGCTCTCCGACTGATTTAGTCTTAGTTTGATGGACTTGGACTCTGTTGAATTGTTCTCTGACTCGTTCCTGTTGTGGAAAAAATTTAGAAATTTGATTTTTATATATCAAAAAAGCAAGATTTGTATATTACTTGACAAGATTGGTTTCGTCCACGGATGGTGCAGGTGAAGACTGCTGTGGGCATTCAACACATATGTGCTCTTCATCTCGCTTGGACCACATGGTGCCCAGGCGCACCGTAGACGTGATGATGTTGAAGACTTCGTCTTCTTCAAAGGCCGAATCGGCCGCCAAACCAGGCAGCTGCACCGGACTCGGCTCGATCTTGCCATCCTCGGTCAGCTTCCAGTAGGTCGAGGTCTTCGAGTTTATGTGCAGCACGTGAAACGATAGAATGTAGAGAGCAAGGAAAGTGACGCACGGCATCTCGCTGTTGACGATGCTGAACATTTCTGTAGCACGATCGCCAGCCCTCGGCGTTCCTCAGGCGTGCAACATCCTTTGCCAAACGAAATCCGCAGTTCTGCAGCAGCTGCTTTTCGCCTCTGTTGTTTTCTGAGGTTTTCTCTCTCGTTCCGCCGTTCCGACCTGGCTGCGAGCTGTTGCTGTTCGCCAGTCTTCCAGGCGGTCAGCGCCAGCAGCCAATCAGCGAGCGGAATGCAGCTGCACGCAGGCCAATGGGCGTTGAGCAACGTCGGAACGAGAAAACTGCCACACCGTCACACATCTGCGATAATGGTGGCGTTGAGGATAGGCGGAATTCTGTTTTGGGGCAGTTTTCTGCTCTTTTCGGCCGGGCTTCGGCCCGCTGCGGCCGGGGGCAACACCCTAGTCCTGCTGGACAACCTGGTCATCAAGGAGACACATTCCATTTTCTTCAAATCGCTCGCAGGTGCGGCAAAATTGAGCTCAAAATACGCCGGTCGACTGTGTTTTTGAACACGTCGCCGGCTAATCATTGATCGAAATGCAGATTATGTATTTATTTTTTTTTCTCCGCAGATCGAGGGTATAAATTGGTCTACAAATTGGCAGATGACGCTAGCATAAATATTAAAAAATACGGCGAGTACCTTTACGAGCACATCATCATCTTCGCACCGTCCGTCGAGGAATTCGGAGGCAACTTGAGCGTCGAAGCTTTGACAGAGTACATTGATGACGGAGGTAATTCATTTAATTTAAAGCCTACATAAATGAATCTTAATATAAAATAATTTAAAGGAAACCTTTTGGTGGCTGGAAGCTCCTCGTCTAGTGACGTTCTCAGGGAGTTGGCCTCAGAGTGCGGATTCGAAGTTGACGAGGAGGGAGCATCTGTCATTGATCATCTTAACTATGATTTCAATGACAAAGGAAAAGTATGTATTAAAATAAACAAGCTGTTGAGTTTTATTTTATTTCTATATTATTTTCAGCACACTTTGATCGTGGCTGAAGCAACTAGTTTGATCAACTCACCTGTTATCGTGGGTTCAAAGAATGTCCCTCCGTTGCTGTTCGAGGGCACCGGCTTGGTTGCTGACAAAGAAAATCCACTTGTCCTGCAAGTTTTAACTGGAAGTAGTTCTGCTTATTCTTACAACCCGGATCAAGCCATCAAGGAAGTAAGCAGTTTTTTTTTTATTAAAAGAAGGAAGTATAAAAAATTAAATTTTATCTTAGTACCCCCATGCGGTTGGAAAGAATACTCTTCTGATTGCTGCCCTGCAAGCAAGGAACAATGCTCGAGTTGTTTTCTCAGGCTCCATCTATTTCTTCTCTGATGAGGCATTCAACGCTCCAGTCCAGAAAGCAGGAGTAAGTTCAATCATTTTTTATTTCTTAATAATAATCTAACAAAAAATTATAATTTCCAAACAGGGTGGTCAGTTGCACAAAAGGTCTGGAAATCAAGAAGTGGCCACCTCTCTCAGCAAGTGGGTGTTCAAGGAAACTGGCGTGATTAGAGTGAAGAGCGTGACGCACCACAAAGTCGGAGAGAAGAACCCACCAGCGGCTTACACCATCATGGAGGAGATGCTCTACACAATTTCCATTGAGAAGCTGCAGGGTGGAAACTGGGTGGCCTTTGATGCGGATGACGTCCAGCTTGAGTTTGTCCGTATCGACCCTTTCATCAGACAGACCCTGGTGAAAAAGGCTGGTGGCAAATACGAGGGCCGTTTCAAGATTCCAGATGTCTACGGAGTGTTCCAGCTCAAGGTTGATTACAATCGAATCGGCTACACACACCTCTTCAGCACCACACAGGTTTGTGTTAAAAAAATTAATAATTTACATTTTTATAAAATTTCTTTTAAATTCACAGGTTTCTGTCAGGCCATTGGAACACACTCAGTACGAAAGATTCATTCCGAGCGCCTACCCATACTACTTCAGCTCATTCAGCATGATGGTCGGAGTTTTTATTTTCAGCATCGTGTTCTTGCATTACAAGGACGACACAAAACCGAAGAAGGAGTGAAAGTAATAAATTCAACTTTGTTATGTTTGAATATTGAGGCAAATTGTGTTGTGTGCTAGGGAAATGTGCATTTCGTGTGTAAAATAAAATCATTTTTTAACTTCTACCAAACTGAATCCATATTTATTTAAAAATCCTCAGGTTTAAAAAAATTAAATATGAATTAATTTATTTTTTCTGATTATGTCTCAAGAACATAAGGAATTGGGATTAAGATCAAAATCCTTTGACAAATTAATACATAATATTATTTTCTTTTAACTTCCCCTCCTCATTTCCAAGTTCTTTCAGCTGGCGCCCATCCCACCTCCATTTTTCCCACTCGTGCAGTGGTGGGGTCGTGGGGTGCGCAAGAAGTTCGTTGACGTTGTCTTTGACAGTATTTTTATCCATTAAAACACAATTTATATAAAGTTCCGACTGAACCCTGGAATTATTAGATGATTTGCCAGCACAGCCGTTTGAAAATTTAGCTCAAGAATGGTTTGAGGGCACAGTTGCGATGCTTCCTTGGAGCTGACAAAGTGACAAAATCCAGATAAAAAAGTGAGAGTAACTATGTATTTCATAATTTTAAATTTTATGAATTTCAATTTTCACAATTGAAAACACTCATTAAATGAAAATTAGTTTTATAATGCCGTTCTCTTTTGCATTTTCTTCTATTTAAAAGTATTTTCCAAAATATTATATGAAGATGGAATTTGTGTGCGACCTAATTTCATCACAAATGTTTATGTAGCAATATTTTCTAAATTTAAGTAAATTGATTAACATATTTTTTCCAGGTGAGAAGATTTTTAGAATTAACATGGCAATCATCAGCGTTTGTCGACTGGTCAGATTAAGGACGTGGAATCAGTTTTGCGCCATTCAAAGACTTAACTCAAGTCAAATAACTACTTCTTCACCCCCACCTGGAAGTCCTGTGGCTGTGCTTCATGAGAAAATTGACAAAGGCGAGCTCATTCGAGACGACTACCAACTGCTTATCGCCGAAGAGCTGCAGAGGGTTTACCTGGACGTGCAGAGCTATCAGCCTCAAAAACCGAGCCTGCTCGGACGATGGTTCGGAGCCGAGAAGAAAATTGAGGCCCCTCAAGGGCTGTACCTGTACGGTGCTGTCGGCGGTGGCAAGACGATGTTGATGGACCTTTTCTTCAACTGCTGCAAAAGCGTCACTATGAAGCAGCGAGTCCATTTTCATGCGTTCATGCAGGATGTGCACACCCGGATCCACGAGAACAAACAACTGCAGTCACAGGCCAGTGACGGCGGCCGCACCAGCAAATCCAGATCTTACGACCCCATACCACCGGTGGCTGACTCTATCAGCAAAGAGGCCTGGCTCATCTGCTTTGATGAATTCCAAGTGAGAATCATCAATTAAATAAATTAAGATGATTTTTTTTTAAATCTTAACATTTTTTTTTAAGGTGACGGATATTGCTGATGCCATGATTTTGAAGCGCCTTTTTACAGCGCTCTTCCGTTCCGGAGTGGTCGTGGTGGCTACAAGCAACAGAGCACCGGACGACTTGTACAAAAACGGACTCCAGAGGTCCAACTTTCTGCCATTCATCGGTGTACTTAAGTCGCGCTGCAAAGTGGTCAGCCTTGATTCTGGCATTGACTACAGGCTCAAATCACTCCCTGGCAGGCAGAGGAGCTATTTTGTGTGAGTCACATTACTTTTTTTAAATGATTTTTTATTTAAATTAATTAAAAATTTCAGCAAGAAGGATTGCGAAGCAAACCTAGAAGCGGACAAAATTTTCAAATTTCTCTGTTCGATGGAGAATGACATCATTCGACCGAAAACTCTCAGGATAAAGGGCAGGAACGTTACCTTCCAGCGCACTTGTGGACAAGTGGCTGACTGTACCTTCGAGGAACTTTGTGATAGGGTAAAATTAGAGATGGTATTTGCGTATTTGTCTTTTATCTTGTTCATCTTCAGCCTTTGGGCGCCAGCGATTACTTAAAAATGGCGCACGCCTTCCACACAATCCTCATCAGAGATGTTCCTGAGCTCAGTTTGAAACTAAAATCTCAGTCCAGGCGGTTTATTACGCTCATCGACACCCTCTATGATAATCGAGTACGTTCAAATTATTCAGTCGGTAACCAATTTTGATAAAAAAGATTCTTAAAAGGTCAGGGTTGTGATCACTGCTGACGCTTCACACAAAGAGCTCTTTGTGGCTGTCCTTGATGAACATGACCACCCGGCTGACGACCACAGAGCTTTGATGGATGATCTGGGAATCAAACTTGGCTCTGTAAATTTAATTTTTGTTGTTGTTAACCTATTTTACTTATAAAAAAATAAATAGGAAAATGCCTCGGCAAGCATATTCACTGGTGAAGAGGAGCTCTTTGCCTTTGACCGGACAGTGTCCAGATTGGCTGAAATGCAGACGAGGGAATATTGGGAGCAGTGGGAAAAGCATAAGTAAAGCTTAGCTGGTTTGAGCTGTTGCAGCTGCCAAGGTAACTAGTCTTCTTCGTATTATGTTGCTAATTTGTTAAGCACAAACGTTATAAAGTTTAAATAAAAAGAGAGAATACTGTAGTTTCCTTTATATTTGATTGATATTTATTATTCCTATCTGAAATCAAAAGCTCTTCAATTCTTTGCATGCGCTCTTAAAACCTGTTTTATTATTATGGGGATACAAAAAATCTGGTAACTGGAATGCAAATCTTTTGGTCTACAGGAAAGAAGATCAATAAGTAGTTAACTTTTCGTGTTATGGTGCTTCTATTCTTCTGTTTTCACGAGATGTGGCATATTTTTTAATTTTTTAAATAATTTTTTACTTAACTGAAATTTTTTTTTAATTTTAGACATGCGAGTTAATTAATAAAAATTCATTTTAGTGTGGTTTGAAATGACTGAATTAATTTATGCTATGCATAATATTATATATTCATTTAAAATAAAATAAGTTTTAAGCTTTCCCATTAATTAATTATAATTCAATGCCACAACTCAATGATTTTCCTTTCTCAATTCCTCCTTTGAAAAAGGATCGTGCTATATTATTATCTTAAGCAAAAAATAAATTTCCAAGCTCTCTGCTATTTGGCGCTGCCATACGTGGCTAGGCCTCTCTTCGCTCCGTTCACTCCCGATGGTGGCTCCTTCTGCATTTTATTTGGTCCCCTATTCGCAGTGAAAAGACCAGTTCCGCTCAGTCTGCGCGAGGATCCCGGCTGGCTCGGTAGTGCGAACGAGAGCTTACAGGACACATACATTCAAAGCAGCGCTCACAACACAACACCTGACAGGTGAGTCACAAAAAATGCGAATTTGCTCTGCCTCTGCGGTACTCTTACATTTTACGGATAATAGTAGTGTCACTTCAACAGATTTCCTATTGACTGAGTATAATTTAAGTTGCTAATTTATCATTTTGCTCAAAATTGTTCATATTTCATATATCAGATGAAAAATATTCTATAGAAACAAAATAGTGGCGCAAAGAAAAAAGATTTGTGGTTGATAAAAATATAATTTAAATAATTTTTATTAAGGAATATTTATCATGAAATTAAATTTTATCTACTCATTCAATACTTCAAACTTCAAACAAATCCTTTTTTTTTTATAAAATTTAAAAAAAAATGGAAAACAATCGTGCGTTTATTATTTAGAAAATTTGTGGAGAAATCGTCGAAGTTTAGCAACCCTTAAATTAGATTCTCTTCAAATTAAAAAATTTCTAATTTTAATTGAAACGCTATAAATGAACACAACACAAGCTTCTTGACCCTGTGATGAAGTCACATGCACCTTGAACTATGCGTGGCAAATTATAATTAAAGCAGGTGTCCGGCAGCTGGGGATGGCATTTCCTCTGGTGTGTATATAGTTTTATTGATCCCTTGCTAGGGTGGTTCCGTGTGTGATGCATGTTTGCAAAGGGAATTGCCGGCCGGTTTGCGTCTCATGTGTACCTTCTCGGAGATAGCGAGGGTGCGTGAATCACTTGAAGAAGCACACAATTGAGAAAGGTAAGGGAGGCTGCTCGCGGGGGTGGCTTTTCCCAATATAATGGTCACGTGACCGACGTGTATGTGTGCGATCAATGAGCGCGGCCGGCACGAGGAGAAGAATCCGTCTCGCTCTCTTTCCAGGAGGGCAGGGTGGATATTTTCCACCCACCGATCTTTTCGCGAACGGCTCTGTTGCCAAACCGCCAAGGGTGTGGTTAATTTTCGCACTGAAACAAGATCTTTATCTCGTTTTTGCATTTTAAATTGTATTTCTCCACTCACCCCTTGCTTTTTCCGCAACCCTCCCTCGCAATTATTTTATTCCGCAATTTTATTTTCCCCTGCGAATTGCGGCGTTTGTTGTTGTAGCCGCGGCTCTCTTTCGCTCTCTGCCGGCGACGCGTTTTTATTAAAAGCTGAACCACCCTCGTGTGTGTGTGTTTTTTTTTCTCTCTCTTCTATTCAAGAGATGAAGAAAGATGATGAATCACCGTCACCCAAGCGCCGCACGCCCTTTCCGCGCAAGCCATAGAAATGCCCTCTCGTCCTTTTGCCATATGCGTCCGGATTAGAGATTAAAAGCAAAAGAGAACGGTTGAAAAAAGAACTCGAGGCTAATGGGGCCCTTTGGTTCATTTGCAACATGTACTAATGAATCGGCAAACAGCAATCGCTTTTAAGAAGGAAGACGAAGGGGCGCGCAAAGCCACAAAGCGTCTGCCTTGTCTGGCTGTTGTTTTTTGGCAAATGGCTTTATCAAGTCTGGTTGAAACAGACGGATTATTGTGAGGCTTCATTTTTTTTATAAATTTCAAACAAAAGATTAATTGGCTTTGAAAAAAAGTAAAACATTTTAAAGGCATTTTAAAAATTTAAAATTTCTGTTCTTTAAATTATATCAAACGGCTAATTTTTCATTCTATTTTTGCACAATATTTTGGAAAGGCATGAGTATAATTAAGCCAATTTAAACAAAAATGAGTTATCAATGAGCTGGCGTATTTCTATTTTTACTTAATGATTCCATAAATAATATTAAGAAATGAACAGTTCGTTTTTATCGCGAGCAAGATGATCCTCTCTCCTCCCCTCGATCCGTTTAGGCGCTCACGCTAATTGAAAAAAATTCAGTCCGAAATCATAAAACTAGAAACACTCGGCCGCACGAATGCAGTGCGTGCTCCAGAAATGAAGTGGATTGTATCAAAGCAAGGTATTTCCAGAGTTTATATTTGCAGCGAGCGATGCGGTTATTGTGCGCGATAACAATCAAAAGCAGCCTCTCAAATTATAATAATTACCGGCGTGAACGAATCCATATAACATGGAAATCTATGAGGCAGCAAAATATAATAGCCGGAGAGATTCTATTTTTATCCTAATAATTCCACCGAATAAAATGCACGCAAGACTTTTACCCACTTGAATTATTCCGTGCTTCGGAATTTTGTCGCGAAGCGCATTGCTTCGGAACGTTCCTCGCACACGGTTCAACGGCATATGTACAAACCCCACCTGGGCTGTCGGATAAACTCAATTCTGCTGCACTTCCTTCTGCAAAGGCACGAACACCCGGCATTTTTAATATCATTTTTATCCCCCTCACAACAACTGCAGCAGCTTTTGAAGAATTACAACGAGAGCAGCTTGCCTGTATATATTCCCTTGGACCGATTTTTTTTCTTCCTTCAATCTCATTATTGTGCCGTTTACGTCGATAAGTGCATGTTAGCTACAGTATTGCCGACGTGAAAATTGTATCGTTATGAGCAGCATAATAATAAACGCCCCATTCATCGGCAAGGACATAAAAACCGGCGGCGTGTCTCTTTTTCTGATGTCGCGTGTGCCATTATAAAAAGCCCTCGAGGATCGACGGCGGCGTTTTGTTTTGAAACAAAAAAATTTCAAAAGCTAAAAATGCGCCGTTCAAAAGAATAATTCGCAGCTCTTTACTAATTGCAGCAGCTCGTCTGTCAATGACGTGAATAAATGAAAAGGCTGCGCGACAATCATATCGCGTGCTTGCGAATTCAGGGCCTAATTTTCTAATTTCGCGTGACTGCTATATAGGGGCGGCTGATGGGAAATTTACGAATCTGCTGCCAAACGTCGGCTGTGTGGAGGGTTTTAAGCCGTAAATTATCAGTCTTTGGACGTGCCGGCGGGGAGAGGATGAAAATAAAGTGCAATTTTCCCGCTGTTAATGGCGCGAACGCAAACTGTGGGGTCAGCGTCTGGAAAATTAACAGGCAGTTCGTGCCAAATCCCATCAAATAATATAACAGACCGACCAATTCCCTTTCAAAGGCCATCAATTTTCAAAGGGGGATGAACTATTAGCCAGAAAATCATTTTTGAAAATTGGCTTGGCGGAACTTTGGCTAAATAGTTTTTCAGATAATTTAAGCCAGTGCTTTAATACACAGAAAAGAAAAGTTTGGAGTTGGGGTTCAATCTCATTAGGAGCGAGGGCAGGAAGGCGTTTTTCTTGGAAACACCCTTGCTGTCAGCCGCCGCCTTGACAGATAAAGCTGGCGATAAAAAATTCAAGAGGAAGTCGGTTCATAGAAATGTGCTGAGGCAAGCAAGGGTCCCGAAATGCAAGCTTTATCATTATTATAATAGCTCAACTGAAAAGTATTTATAAATTCATCTTTAAAATCAAATTTATTTGCAATGGCAAGAAAGTTAATAATTTTTTTTATAATTTAAAAAAATATTAAAGCCCATTGCTGACTCTTATATATTAAAATCAACTACCAAGATTTAATTGCAGTTACTTTTTGATAATTACAAAAGTTATAGCTCGTATTAGATCAAACCGTTAAATTTTTGGCACCTTTTAAACTCTCTTTGATGGTCTTGTTTCATAGATAGCAAGAAAGATTTTAACCTCTCGAAGGGATCACCTGTTTCGTTTGTGATTCTAGTATTCTTGTTTGCCCCAAAATCACCAGAAAACTTGCTTGACTGGTTAACCAGCAGTATCATCAAACATTTTACATAGACGTAAATTTTTCTATTTCTCAAAACACCATTGACGACTACTCATTTTTATTCCACTTCAAGCCTGTTAGAGCAAATGAGGGCAGGTAGAATAATATTTGAAATCCTGTCTTCCTTGCCACATTTATTACATACTTAGTGCCAGTTCCGAGCATCATCATTTTCTCCGCAGTCGCGTTTAATTTCGCCTGAAGGCGCAGCATGCGAAGGTATAGCCGAGTTCTGCACAGTTATACTCAGGGCACGCTTCAACGCGTGTTTTAATAAAGCACGCCTTTTCATATATATGTATTATTTTATATACTTTGTGCAGCTCGGCGGTCAATTATGAAATAAATGAAACGCCGCTTCCTCTTTGTACAGCTTCTTGAAAATAAAACGCCGGCGGCAAATAACCGGGTCACCTTCAAAATCGCTGAAATCGATTAATCAAACGGGAGAGATGGTCCACAAATTTTTATGGTTTTGATCGGTTTCGGGAAGTCGATACACTACCGTGCTTTTAATAGCTTGTAAAACTAAAGTTTTCGCCGTTTTTCACTTGATTCAACAAAGGCATCATTTGTATTCCTGAAGTTCGGGCCATAAAATTAAGGATTGCTTACAAAAAAAACATAAATAATTATGAATTAAATAATGATGGCTTCTTTCATTGAAATGTATTATTTTTTCATCTTGCCTTTGATTATTAATAATTTTCTTCTATCTTTATACAATAAAATATATATTATTGCTAAAAGAAGTAATATATTTTACAAAAATATTTATAAATTATTAAAAAACTGAAAAAAAAACTTGATAATACTTTATAGAATTTCAAGATAAATTAATTATTTTCTCTAATGTAGTTGGTAAGGGTTTGAATTTAATTAATATATTTTGTTTAATTTCTAATTTGTTTTATTAAATTGATTCAATTATCATAACTTGAGGCGTTCTTTTTATTGGATTTAATTTGTGTTCATCAGACTGATTTAGCTTTTAATTTAAAACTTAACTTTTTTAAATAAATAAATTTTTACCTGGAATACTTAAAATTATAAATGTAAAATTGTCTACGTATATTTTCATTTAATTCAAAATTTTCTTACTCCATAAATCATATGTTTTAATGGTGCAGTTTGAACGCCTGCTTGTTGCACTCACACGAGATCTGAAGTGCACGTTCGAAATCTGTTTGATCTCATTGTCGAGTATTTGAGAGTCTCTCTTGTGCAGAATGTAGTCCGCGACGACGACGCTGCTTTTTCCTCTGCGCGAGAGAGGATGTTGCTTTTGCTTCCACGTGCGACCATGTGGCCCTTCCACATAAACACACGCAGTAAAAAAAAAAACGCGTCGTAATTGCACTTTTTTCTCACCGCCCCCTTGCATGCAGATTTCAGCGACGCTCAACGAATATTATTTTATTATGGTGGCGCACTAGAATTTACTATCTTTTTTTTTATTAAATGGCCCATAGGAAGAGAAAATTATTCTGCCAGGCCATAAACTTCTTTTCTCCCTCTTCGGTCTTTATGAATTTAATTCGTCCGCAGCGGCGGCTAGAAAATTCGATTTGCGAGAAGTAATTTCCTGTGCGAATTTGATTAAAAATGGTTTAATTTAATTCTCCTCTTCACATTCATACAAAAGCTCTCCCCCATGCACTTAGCGAAACACACGTTTCAGCATGTTTGTCGCTCTCTCGCGCATATCGCTGTATAATTATACCCGGTGCGGGTGAAATGGAAATGAGCTTTGCACGAGCTAGGGGATTATCCCGTTGGTCCGAAAAATACACACGTGTCCCTCCTGTATCGTAATTTAAATCGTCGAAAGTCATGGCTGCTCAACAAAAGCAGTGAAAGTATTCAAAGTGAGGGGATGTTTGCTCCGAACGCAAGGGTCGGAACTGAAAATTTACAGGGGGCTGTGACCGCGTGCGTGATTCCGAGAAGCCGATCATTATTTGCTGCGTGACTTCCACCCCCCACCTCTGAGTTGAAGAACCTGCACTACTTTTTTCCAGGGGAATTTTCCAGAAGAATTTACTTACTAAAATTTCCATTACTATTTTTGGTCCGTCTCACGTTTTTCTTAAAACAACTATTATTTCACAAAAAGTATAAAATTGAACAAATTTGCTGATCAACGATCAATCTGTTTTTCGCATAGTTTCAATTTTGATGGCATAAGCAATCTAAGATTTTGGCGGATTAGATTATTTGCATTATTTTTATATGAAACATTAAAGTTAAAATTTCAGTGGCAAAATGTTTTAATTTAGAAGAACTGCAGTTTGTTTGGCTAATGAATTTAATAATTTTTGAAGACATTTTCGTCAAGAAAAATATCTATATTAATTAATAATAAAAAAATGATTAAAATATTAGAATTTTAAGTATGTAAGGCATTGAAAAAAAATAACCAAAAAATTATAGTTTCATTTATGAATAATTATAGTGTTTAAATTAAAATTAGACTTCAAAATAAATTATTGCAAAGATTTTTTCTTTATTCTTTTTCTTGAAATTCATCTTTGAACCCAAGAAGCGCCCTTGAATTGATCTTGAAGAACGAGGCGCTGTTCGTTCTCTGAATCTTTGGCAATAAATTTCAATCAGCTATCGCAAAATCCTCTCAGAGAAACCAGTTTCAAGCTGGAATTGCTTCAAAGCCGTGAGTTTATAACTTAATGCCACCATTCCCTTAACAAAAAAGGCAACTTTTTGTAGTCAAATAACAATTCGAGCTCGCATAATGAAAGCCGCAGGGCGCAATTTCTGCGGAATAAATCACACAATGCGGCGAATGATGAGAGCTGGAATATAGCAATGCCGGGGCAAACACGGGCGAAATGCAGACACTCTACGTACAGTACCAATTGGTACGTGTAGCCATGGCAACCGCCGCGTCGAATCAATACAGCTGCATAATGTAGAGGCCCAGCTGTGGATGCACAACAATCGTTTATACGCTGCCCTCGCTAGCCGGCTGACAATGAGTGAGAATGAAAGCTGCTCATCCCCTAGATTGTCAGAAACAATTAGCACGCGTTCCTTTCAAATATATTATTGATTTCCAGTCAAAATCAGACAACAAATAAAAAATAATTAAACAGGTAAATTTTTTATTTGGGTTCAAAACTCTAAACCGATGCTTATTTTAGCTGTAAAATTAAAAATTTCTTCTCAAATTGTATTTTATTATTTAAAATTGTTTTATTAGTGGAAAATTCTAATTAATATCAATTTTTATTTAATAATTATGTAATATGGCAGTTTATACTGAATGGAATGTAATAAATTTATTTAAAAAAGCGCCTCTAAAATGGCCTTATCTTGTAATATGACTTTTTTGTTACAAATTTCTAGTAAAATTACCAAATATTTTGCCACAAAAATGATCTAAATTTTTATGGAGTTAATAACAAAATTTCATTCTTTGTTCTCAGAATTATGAACGGCGTCAACGGAGGTGTCAACGGCCACTCCGAGCTCGGCTTGGAGCGCGGCTGTTGGACCATCGGACTGATCAACGCGCAGTTTAAATACTTGACGGCCGAGACGTTCGGCTTCAAGATCAACGCGAACGGCGCCTCGCTCAAGAAGAAGCAGATCTGGACGCTGGAGCCGTCCGGCGACGGCGACACCATCTGTCTGCGCTCGCACTTGGACAAGTACTTGGCCGTCGACACGTTCGGCAACGTGACCTGCGACAACGGCGAGAAAGACGTGGGCAGCAAGTTTGAGATTTCCATCTCGCCCTCCGGCGGCCGCTGGGCTCTGAGGAATGTGGCCCGCGGTTACTTCCTCGGCGCCGGCTCCGACAAACTCAGCTGCACTGCCAAAGCTCCAGGTTTGTTCTAAAATTTGTTGCATTTTTTGTGCATATCTAAAATTTTACAAGTCTTTAAACAATAGTTAAAAAATAAATTAAAACAATTAAGTCATTTCAAGGCGCAAATTGAAAAAAAAAATCATTGTGGATTAAGTACTTCACAAGCAAATTTTGAATATGGATCCCTATTCAATTATCTCGAGATAATAATAATTTTTTAAACCTTGAGCACATACATAATGTGTATTAATTTCAAATTTAATTAGACTGGTGAAAAGTTCTTTTTTTATTAAATCCGTTCTAAAGCTCATTCTGACAATGGATCTTTCCTGGATCTTTCTATGAATTTTGTCATTCGTTTGAGATAAAGAAAAAAATAAATGTTTTGGAATTTTCACAAATTGTCTTTGTTGAGATTTATAGACTCTGTATTTAAGATTAAATTCTAAATCTAAACTTGATTTTGAGATTAGCTATAGACTACTTAAAATTGTTCAATGGTAAATTCAACTTTTCAATGAATTTATGAAGAGGAAATTAAATAAAATTATCAGTATTCTTATTTTCCTTAAAGCTTTGTCCAGGCTTTTCTATTATTTACAAACGACTTTGCCTGCGACCATCAAACAAACTTTGAGCACACTGACTGCGACTATTATGAGATAAACTTAAAAAACGTTTATCAGAAAAAAAAAATTAACTTTGCTTCAAATTAAAGTTTTATTAATTTAGTGGAAAAAAAACTTAGAAATAATTGTAATTATTAAATGTTTATTTTTATTACAATATTATATATTATAAAAATTTTTAATGATTTTTTTTTTATTTCATACAATTCTATACTAAACTTGCTCTTGTCATTTTAAATTGTAATTTAAAAAAAAAACATCGGTTAAAGAAAATCGATCAAATTAAATCATAGTGATTTAAAAATGTGCCTGGAAAAAAGTTGTAAAAATTTTTAAATATTTTGACTGTTGGTAGCAGTTTGACAGAAACATTGAGATCAGTAATGTCTCTGAGAAGATATTTTGCTTTAAATGCTTTATCTTATATTCAATATCTTATATATTTATCATAAAAATTAACAAGAAGTGATTCAAAAATAAATTTAAAATAAAAAACAGGTGATGCCGAGCTGTGGACAGTGCACTTGGCCGCTCGTCCGCAAGTGACTCTGCGCTCGATCGGCCGCAAGCGATTCGCACACCTGTCCGAGGGCCAGGACGAGATCCACGTGGACGCGAACGTGCCGTGGGGCGAGGACACGCTGTTCACCCTCGAGTTCCGCGACGACAAGTACGCGGTGCACTCGTGCAACAACCGCTACCTGCACCGCGAGGGCAAACTCGTGTCCACGTGCGGCCGCGACTGTCTCTTCTCGGCCGAGTACCACGGCGGCTTCCTGGCCCTGCGCGACTCGGCCGGCTACTACCTTTCGCCCATCGGCTCAAAGGCCATCCTCAAGAGCCGCTCGCAGTCCGTCACCAAGGACGAACTCTTCTCGCTCGAAGATTCGCCACCGCAGGCCAGCTTCGTCGCCTCTCTCAACGCCCGATACGTCTCTGTCAAGCAGGGTGAGTACTTTTCCAATTTATTTCATTATCTAATATTTGTCTGGAAATCCATCTTCTGCAAAAGCTGAATTATTAAAAAAAAAAAAAAAAAAAAACAATTGATTTTGGAATCCAAATTATAATTTAGTTAAAAAATTAACATGGACTTTATCCATATAAACATTTATTAATGCATTTAGAATGGATTTCGGCAAGTTTTGGACGAAAATGCTTCTTGCTTATGAGTTTAAAATGATTGAATACAAATTTTAAAAATTGTGTTTGTTAGATTTCAAAGCCAAGAAAATTAAAAAAAAAAAAAATTATAGACGGCCGGATTAATTTGATGATGATTTTACTTCTGCGTTAATGGTATTCATTGGCATTAGTTGGTATTAATTTTTATATTTAAATCTAAATATAAATCAGAAGAAGAAAAATTTAAATTGAGGGATTAATGAAAGGATGGAGACTTTGGAGGCTAATAATTTTTTACCAGGCCAGTCCCCATTAAATGACAATTTCACAAAATAAATATCAAATGACAAAAATTAAGTTGCAGCATTAAAAAAAAAACAATGCATACTTAGCTTGAACTGATGATTAAAATTATTATTATTATTATTGTTGTTTGATCTTCTAAGGGATTTATCAAAAATATTTGTTGGTGTAAATTCAATAAAGATCAAATTTAAATAATTTAAAAAATTGCTACAACTTGCAAATTGAAGAGGTTTGCAAAACTCGAGGTGCAAATTACCTAAATAAACACACTCAGCCTCTTAAAAGCACTCTCATCAAAACGGTTCTGCGCAATTTAATTTATGCAAACTGCCGAATGAGAAAGCAGCAGAAAAAAAGTATGCTACTTTTGAAGGTGCCAGCCGCGTTCATGAATTTTCGTTTGAAAGAGCGTACGGTAGGGTAATCGCCTAACGAACCGACGTATGGAGTGCGAGCCACTCGCAGTGGCAGCGGCGCCATTAATTAAATTTTTAACAAGTTCAAGGCTCCGCATCTTGCCGAACAATGAACGTGGTGCTCGCTTTTCACATGCAGAGAGCGCGACCGCGCGTGAGTTACTGAAAAACATAAATGAATGGAGATAATTAAAGAAGAAACCAAAAATTGCGGAGGAAGTCCAAATTTTTAGCAAACCAATGAAAGCACAAATTTCCAAATTAATTTATTTTTCAATGTAAATTTCAGTTTATCAAATTAAAAAAAAAAAAATATGAGGAAATATCTCACGAATAGATAATTTTTTAAGAGATGTTGACATAATTTGGTTGAATTTCTTGGATTTATTTGTTCTTCTTTTGTTTTTATCTTGCAGAATATTAATTTTTTGTTTAACCTATAAAGAGTTAAAAATGCTTGTAATTTTTTTCTGCTCGAATGTTAAAATTTTAGGAAAATTTAAAATATCATTAATTTTATTTCAAATGTTTACACTATACTTAAATGTTAATTGCGACCTTCTCTGCTAAAATTTGAACCTTTTTATATAAAAAAAAATAATAATAAATAAAATTTCAACAATTTTATTTCCTCGATCAAAATATTGATCCATTGATCAATATAAAACAGGAATGTGATAGATGGATTCCATTTGTATTTCAATAGTTGAAGGGAGACGCATGCGAGAGACGTCGACGTCCGTGAATAAACGCGCAGAATGATAGATGGTGGCCCGGCGGTGGCTCCGAGCGGAGAGCACTCGTGCGAAACCACACAAGATTTTTATTCGTGTGCATGTTTTCCGGAGGCCGTCAGCAATATGCTATAATATTGCTGCGGGAACTTTTTTTTTCAAACTGCATCTCTCGCGCGCGTGCATTTTCCGCTGCCGTGTAAATGGAAAGGATGAGTTTGCATTCCTGTTGGCCCCAGAGTTATTTCTCTTTGTCCGCTTTATGCTGCTGCGTTCCTCCGCTGTGGTTTATTATCAACTCGGAATATATATTTCACTTAATTATTTCCAGAGTCAATTAAGTGGTGCGTCGAGCGTGCTTTCTTGTTTCTCTCTTTGGCCAGATGTGTGTGGTTGCAATTAATCTGCGTTCGTTTCAGCGTTTCACTGGTTTGACCGGAAACATATAAATCAAAATATAAAAAGGTCCATTAAAGACTTTTAACATTTCTTTTTGTTGAAATAGAAAGAAATGTGGAATGATTTGACTGGTTTGAATTTTGGAACAACTTAGAACAAATCAAACCAATCAAATCATTTCATATTTCTTTTTATTTGAAACAAATTTTAAAAATTCAAAATCAATAACTTTTAAGCATTAAATTTGTTATAAATCTGAAAAAAGCTTATTTTTATGTATTTTTATTTTTTCTTATTTTTTATAATTTTTTATTAATTATATTTTTATTTTTTTGAAATAATTTTAGGAATTTTAGCAAACAATTTTAAAAAAAACTTGAAGCAATTTTTTTTAAATTCAAGAGTAGGTAATTTTTTTTTTATAAATTTTCCACTTTACATAAATTGAAGCATAACAATTATAATATTGAAATATATATTATCTTGAATTGAACTTGAACTTATTTTATTTGACTTTTAAAAAGTTTTTATTTTCACTCATTATGATTTTACTTGCAATGTTTTTGGTTCAAATTAGAACGGATAATATTATCATTTTAACCATTCAAAAAATTATTTTTTTATTATGAAAAACGAATAAAATAGTTAAAGAAAAATAATGAATAGGGAATTTATAATAAATGTTGCCATGAAATACCACTTACAATTAGCATAACTAAATTTTATCGATCCAAAGTGTTTTAAATTTTCTATGTAGTTAAAAGTGGGTGGACTCGCTTTAAATCCAGTAAGATGTGTGCCAATGTCAATGGAAATAAATCAGCTGAATGCGGCGTAGAGGCGGTGATCCCCTGGCGACTATGCAATTAACGTGTTTTTTTTGTCGCACTTCCGTTCGCCGCCGCTTTGTTGTGTCGCTCTTTTTATTATCCTGTTCGTTCCCATCATGGAAGAAGGACAAAAGGTACTTGTGATGACATTAAACGATAACGAACGTTTTCCACTTTTTCGCGCGTGCAATGCTTCCTTTTTTGAGTACATTTTTTCCCATATCGTACTTTTTGGAGATTTACATCTTCGAAGGTTATTAGGTGATGAAGCGAATATCAAAAGTTAATTTTTTGTTGTATTAGTAACAGTTGATTAACCGGTGCTAACGTGTCAAATTCATCAGCTGCCGTGTTTAATCCTGTTCGTCGCCATTTTTGCACCGAAAATTGCAATTTAATGATGCAATTAAGGCGAATGAAATTATTTGCTCTTGCACCGCGGGAGTTTTTATTCCTTTGTGAATTTCATTTGGTGCCAACGTCAGCGTGCAAAAATTTCAATTAATGCTCGCCTGGCTGAGTCTGTACCGCGCCTTTGACTTATTATTACTCGGCAAAATCACTGCCGCGCGCATTTGAGCGAATCATCCGCTAATTATCTCCTTTTTTCTTCCGTCGCCAGGGTAAAATGATGAAAGCAATGAAAAATCTCGTTTACAAGGCGTGAATACCGCGGCGAACGATTTACCCTTGACTGTGCACCCATACGTGCTATAGATATATTTTTAGCGGTTTAAGAAGCAAGGCGTGTGCCGCCTTTTTGAAAGGGGCCCCCTTGTATTATTTGGCCTGTCACAAAAACTCCTGCCGAGATTTCGTTCGGTTCGTTCGCACGTGCTTTTGCATTTCGACGCTCAGCACATGGGGCTCGTCGTCTGGCTGGCTGCGCCCGTCGTGGCAGGAAATTGGGGACGAAAAATACAACTGATGGAAAAACGTGTGGCGTTGTTAATTTTTTCTTAAATCTGTTCAGTGTGTATTTGTTTCAAATCTTAATACATAATAAAAAAATCTTTAATGATTAATCTTACTAAACATCATAAATCTAAAATAATGTTGTGATATTAAAATGTTAATGTTTATTATAGTGTCCTTTCCACTTAACTGGATGAATTAAGATCATCTTAAATCATAATGGATATATATGGTTTGAATGACTAAGTAAATAAATTAGAAAGTTAAACTAGAAAATAATAAAATAAACTTTGGTTATAGAGTTATTGAATTAATATTAAGTAATGATAATAGAATTGAAAAATAATATTAAATTATTAGTTAATCAATTTAATTATGAATTATGTTTTAATTTAACTTAATATTAAAAAACAAAATAAGTTTTGTTTTATTACGTTAAATTGTTAATTTATTTTATAAAATTTGTTTAGCTTATGAAAATAATTTCTAACTGCTCCACTTTTTTGCAAGGGAAATTTGCTCATTTGCAAATTAGTTGTCCAATCATGACAGCGAGAAAAATTAATTAATTTCACGGCCGTGAAATCAGTTTAATTACGCATTTGACCATATGCTCTTTTTTCGCGTCCGTAAGCATAGGAACAAAATTCTAAATTCGTTTTTTTTTTCGCGCAGTGCCAATTAACCACCGATGTGTCTCTCGCGCACACAAAACGCGCCACGCCAATTTGCCCGTTCTAAGAGTGCAGACCAATTAAGAGAGGCAAGGAGCAAAACAAATATATACGCGCGTATCCGACACAGATACCTTTGAATTTGCCCTGACGTGTGAGAGAAAGAAAGCAAGGAAGATCTGTGCATTCTCTCCACGGATTCCACCCGTCGGAAAGAGAAAAGCATTATATATTTGACTATTGGATTATTTTCTCGGCCGGTAAATCACTCGGACATACTCGTCGATGTGTACAGAGGAAGGAAATTTTACGCCGAGATAAAATCTGCAGACCCATTGTTTTCGGCGCCAAGTGCGAAATTTTTATTCAAAGCAAGAGTGCGTGTGTGTTTGCACTCATGTTTTATTCATGAGGCATGAGAAAATTTACCGCGCTCAGAATTTACAAATTAATACAAAGTGGAAAAGTACTTTTCTTCAGGAGACTTTCTTTGGGAATAATATTTTCACCAAAATACAAAAAATAAATGGAAGCTCAAATTTGAGTTGA